CTCTGTTGTTCCATGATCAGGAGTGTGCAGGACGCTGGTCTGAAGGGGATGGGGTAGGATGAGATCAGAGAAAATGGAATATTTGTGTTGGAAGGGATCTACAGTGATCATTTTAACGGCCTGGACATTCCTGTGCCAGCAGGACCAGGCTTTCCTTGGCTGTTTCATTCCCTGGAGAGGGGATGGACACCAAACCGAGTGCCAGGAGTCGGATAAATGTGCAAGTCCCGGGGCTTTGGGGCAGATTTATCCCAACGTGAGCAAACAGTTGTGGTTTGTTTTCCAGGAAACAACCCCTGATTGAAGCAGCTGAACCCTCTCGGGGCCTGGCCATGGATTTATTTCTACCACAAGAGAGGATTTATTTGATTAACTGCTCTTCCTGCAGGAACAGGAATGTTTTGGGTGCAGCCATGGGGAGATGAGGGTGGGAGCCCTTGGCATTCCATCCCTTGGGATCCTCCCAGATCCTGCTGGTGTCCAGCTCAGCTCAGCGGGCACCGGCAGCAGGGCCCTGTGCAGATGGCAGAGAGCCTCATTCCCATCACTCCTGGTGGAAATCAGCTTTACTGGGGGAAAAGGCAAAGTCCCAGCCCAGCTGGAATAATGATTCCCAACACTGGGAATGGGAAGGGAGAGGCAGAGCCATTGTTTGGCTTTGAAGGGAAAAGGTCTCGCCCTTCCTGGCTGGATTTTGGGAAGGCTGAGGGGAGGTGGATAATTAGAGCCTGGACTGGCTGCCTAGAACAGAGGCCAGGCAGAGTTAAAAGAACAAAGTGTGGATTTATCAAAGGCCTCCCAAGGACACACCTTGGGCAGTGCAAAGCCTGCAGAGGCCACAGCCGAGATGGACATCACCAGTTTCTCAGAGGGATGTAAGTTTGGTCAATCTGCATATCAGGGGTTAATTGTCCAATTATAGCTTCCGGTAATGAAGTCACATTCACTTTTGTTTACACTTTTCAGGCCTGAGGCAGATGGTGGCCGTGGTTCTCAGGCCTGGAAGGATTGTTTAGTGTGAGCTGACGAGCATTCTGTACAGAGCTCAGAGTTACACACTAATGCAGTACAGGAGCTGAAAAATAGAAAATATAAAGCTTAAGGTGTCAGAGGAACGTTGTCTGGGTATTCCCAGGATTAAAAGGCCGTGGACAAGGAGACTCTGGGTGGGGATGGAGCATGGAACTGCTGGCAGGGGCGAGCTGGCTGCCAGGGGATGGCTGGAACGTTCCTTTTCCAGAGGCACAGCCACGCAGGTTTACAGGAACCGTGCATGTGTTGCATCCCAGCGCTCCTCATCCCATCCACCCCTGCTCCGTGGGTCGTAAAAATTAAATGGGCATAAATCCATCAGCGCCGGGGGTTCTTCCTCCAGCGCTATAAATCCCACCAAAACTAATTAGAGAGGACAATGGTGCCCATTTAAAGCTGGCACGGGGATGCAGGAGCCATTATCGCCAGGAACACAGGGCTCCAAATGGATTTGGGAGGCTGAGAGCAGCGCGGGTGGCCACAGCGAGGGGCACGGCCCAGCCTGGCAGAGTGAGGAGATTGTGTTAAAGCTCCCTAGATTGATTTCTCCACCGCTTTGCCGTGGAAATCAAATCATCCCATTAACACTTGTGCCGGAGTTTGTTCTTGGAATGTTATCTGGCAGCTCAGGGAGCTTCTCCTGGGGTTTGTTTGTTTGTCGCTGCCAGAGGGCAGCCGGCCCCGCTGCCCTTCCCTGGAAGCCCCCAAAGGAGGGATGTTCCCAGGGATGGGTGCTGGGATCAGGGTTAGGGCTCGCCTGGGGTGCTGCCCCTCTGCAGGGTTTGTTGTTCTGTAGTGCAGGGAAACTGAGGCAGGAGTGGCATGGCCCCGTCCATGGAGGTTTATTCCATCAGGGTGGCCCAGCAGGGAGCTGAGCCCGGCTTTGCTGATGGATTTGCCATCTCCTGGCTGTCTCCTGGGGTGAAATAAATGTTCCCACCCTGGTGAAACCCCGTTCTGCTCTCACTGTTTTAAGGAGCCAGACCTGAAACCTCCAGCAGCTTTTAAATGTCCAGCCTGGCTCTGGGGTCCATAAATCAGAGTCCTCATGGTGCTGGGAGGGAGAATTGGGAATCTGGGGGCTCACAGAGCTCAGCACAGCTCAGCTCAACAGGGCTGAACCCTTGGGTTCTGTCTGAAGCGTGTCCCGTCTGGAATCAGACCTGGGACACCCCGGGGCTGGGATAGGAGAGCCCTGACCCTCCTGGGGGAGCCTTCTGAGCCCCCCTGAACTTCTCCCTCACCTCTTCTCTCCAGTCTGAGTCTGTGAAAGGCTTTCCAGCTGGAAAATAACGGGAGTTGATGATATTTAAGATTATTTTCCAACGTAAACGATGCCACGATTCTGTGAAAATCCTTATCCAACCATTCGCTCAAGGAGCAGGAGGCCGAGGGGCTCGGATCCTGTCTGTCCTCCCTCTCCTCACCTTTCCCTCTCCTTCCTGACTCTTTTCTGACCTTCCTGGCTCTGAGGAGCAGCAGAACAAAGGGAGAAATGCCTGGATGGGTGTTGGGGGATCATTTAAAGTATAATTTACTCTTTTCTTCCCATCCCTTCTGAAGGAGTGCTGAGGTGTCAGTGGCTTTGGGGACAGGGAACAATGAGCACCTGGAAATGCCGGTGTTCCATGGGGATGAACACACACCAGAAATGACAAGCTTTTCCATGGAAATAGCTGGAAATTATCCTGGTGGGAGAAGAGCGAGGGATTAAACACCGGGGGGTTCTCAATTCTTTCCAGCGAGCTCAGCAAGTCCCGCTGTAAGGTCGAGCGGGGCTGAAGGACATCCACGTTCCCCTCCAGCTGTGCAACATCTGCCCGAGCGAGCGGCCGGGAATGCCCGGCGGGCACAGGGAGCCGTGCCAGGCCCTGCTGAGCCGGGCACGGTGCAAACACAGCCAGGGTGGGGAGCTGGGGAGCCCCGAGCAGCCAGCACGGCTGATCCCTGCAGGAAGCTGGTGTTCCACGCTGCCAAAGCCACCTCTGTCCCCACGGCGCCAGCCGAGGCTTCAGGATGGGTTTTGTGTGAGTCAGTGCCCTGCCCGGACGTCAGGGGGATGGGGATGGGGATGGGGATGGGGGAGAGGGGCCGGGAAAATCAGAGCCTGGCAGGGAGAGGGAAGCTGCTCCTGTCATTCCCAAAGAACCTGGGAAAGAAGGGAAAACTCGGCTGGTCCCACTGTGAAAGTGGGGTCGGGATGGGGAAGGGATGGAGGGCTGGGAGGGAAGGAAAGGGGCAGAACCTGTCTGGCAGAAGCAAATTCCTGCTTTCCTCCATCCTCCCCAAAACTGGAATCTTCCCTATCCTGCCCTGCTGCCCGAGCCCTGTGAGGTGGCACAGGGATCCTGACCCAGTGTCATCTGCAGGAAGTAACCTGGCAATTAGGGCCTTAATTAGCCCTTGAGGGTCTGACCCAGTGGCATTTAACCCTTTGCAAGCTGCTGCTACCGCTGCTCTGCCGGGCCGAGTCACAGCAGGGGAAGGGCCACAGGGGTAAAACCCATCGGTTTGGGTTATGGATCTCTAATTTATCCCTGAGTCCTTGTTAAAAAGCCCAGCCTGGGGTCAGCAACATTCCTCACGTGAGGATTAAGGTGCCCGAGTGGCGCTGGTGGCGCTGCCCTGCTCCTCAGATCCCTGTTTGTCCCATCTGGGAGCCGGAGGGAGCTCCCGGCAGAGCGGGGCTGGAGGTGCAGACGCTGCCCTGAACACGGGGAGAGAGAAGATTGTTTTCCTCGCCGTGTCAGTGCCTCGGGCAGAACAAGTGCCCTCTGTTCTCCGCCCAAAACTCAGATTTTAAAAAAGGAAAGACGGTGCTGGCTCGATGCGAAGTGTCAGGGCACAGCCTCGGAGAGAAACGCTCTCCAGAGCATCTGAGGAACGCGAGGGGAGCGCGGAGAGGCTCTGGGAGCAGGGGCGGCGGAAGCCAAGCGTGGCCGTGTAAGAACAGGGGTCCCATCAGGAGTCGATGGGACGTGACTCCCGGAGCCCTGCGAGGGCTGTTCACCGCCGTGCCCGGCTGCACGGGCTCCCCCGAGGGCAGGACGAGCTCCGGGCGAGCTCTCCCGGCGCTGCTTTGCCCCCGCTGAAGCAGCTGGTGCGGGAACGGATGGCAGGGCTGGGCTCGGGGGAGTGCGAGCATCGCCTTCTTCTCCCCGTGCCAGGCTGGAAATATGGGGAGAGGAGGAGCTGAGCGGTGATCCCTGCAGCCAGCCTTAAAAGCCTTTGGAAGTGTTTTCCTAACTCGGGGGAAGGGGAGCAGAGCGGCCTCTCCTATTCCCTCGTTGTGCTCGTGGCCGTGCTCGGCTCCCGGAGCCAGCCCGGAGTGACAGAGCGCAAGGAGCAGGTTTCCTCCCGGGCAGGGATGCCCGTCCCCCGCCTGGCTCTCACCCATCGGGCTGTCGGATGCTCTGGAACACGCGTGGAGACGGGCTGCTGACCCCCAGGAATCACCGCCGAGCTCCCCGTGTCCGAGCCGGGCCGGCCGGCACCGCCCGTGCCCTGCGGTCCCTGCCAGGGCTCCCCGCTCCCCCCCGGCCCCCGCCCGACAGATGGTGCCGATTTTCGCAGGGGGAGGTGGAGGAAACAAAGCCCGGAGAGCTGCGAGGCTGCAGCCCTGGGGGTGACATGTGTGGGGACGGGGTGCCTGCGGCGTGCCGAGCCCCGTGCTGAGCAGGCACTCGAGCCTGCCCTGCCTCACTTATCTCCCTCCTTTGTTGGATTTTTCTCTCTTTTCCAGGTAAAGAAGCCCGCGCACCGTCGGCGGGGATGCCGGTGAAGCGAGCGGGCTGTCTCCCCGTCTGTGCCCGGCCCGGGACCAGCGGCTGACTGGAAGCTGGAATGTTTCCCACTGCAGGCGATGCCCAGCCCAGCCCGCCCCGCTCCTAGCCTGGCTTCCCAGGGGTGACATTCCCGCTTTTCTCCTGCCCGGAGAGCAGTGCCACCGAGCATGCCGCAGAAAACTCCTCTGCAGCCGAAGCCCAGGGGAGTTTTCCAGTGAGTCCAGCTCCTTAAAAGCCAGAGTTGTCCCTTCCCACCCCGGCCTTGGGAAGCGCCTCCGACAGCGAATTTCCCTGCGCCCAGCGGGTGTCAGGGTCCTGGAGTGAGGGCTGGAGGAGGGGGCTGCCATGGAAGAGAATGTGTTCAGCGTGCAGCAGATCCAGCCCAACGTCATCTCGGTGAGGCTCTTCAAGCGCAAGGTGGGCGGCCTCGGCTTCCTGGTGAAGGAGCGCGTCAGCAAACCGCCCGTCATCATCTCCGACCTGATCCGGGGCGGGGCTGCCGAGCAGAGTGGCCTCATCCAGGCTGGGGACATCATTTTAGCCGTCAATGGCAGGCCCCTGGTGGACATGAGCTATGAGACGGCGCTGGAGATCCTGAGAAGCATCGCCTCCGAGACCTACGTGGTCCTCATCCTGCGCGGCCCCGAGGGCTTCACCACTCACCTGGAGACCACTTTTGCGGGAGACGGGACGCCCAAAACCGTCCGTGTCACCAGACCCCTGTGCCCGGCTCCGAAGGCGGTTGACTTGTCCAACCCAAGCGCTCCCGGCAAAGAGCAGCCGCTGCCCGCAGCCATGGGATCCCTGTGGAGCAGGGAAACGGGGAAGGAGGTGGAGCCCATGGTCCACGTTAACGGGGTCGTTCCCGGCAGCAAAGGGCCGGACGCCGGGAAGGGCAAGGACGGGGCTTGTGCTCACTCCTGTCTCAACGGCGGCGTGGAAGGCAACGAGCTGCTCAAAGAAATCGAGCCCGTCCTGGACCTGCTGAAGAGCCGCAGTAAGGACAGCGATGGAGATGCGCCCTCCAAGGTAGAGACACGGGATATAGAAGTCCAGGTGGACTGGTAGGTCCCTAAATACATTTTTTACCTTTGGTGGAACGTGCTGGTTTTGGCTCCCCGAGGTGTCGGTGAGCGCCTCTCCACAGCTGGCTGCTGCCTGGCACAGCAGGGTGGAGACGGGGAGGAAGGGATGAGAAAAAGGGGGAAGTGGTCAGTGAGGGGAAGATGGAAAATTGGGAGAAGATTGTGGAAGATGTAAGCGTGGGAAACTGGGGAGAGCGGGAATAATGTCTTGTGGAAAGCCGAGCTGTGTGATGTGGTGGATCGTGGGCTGGGCTGGGATAAAGTTCTGCTCCATGGTCTCAATTCCATCAAAATCCCGTGCCTCAGTTTCCCCACGTGCCAAATAAGGTCCGTGGCATTCCTGTCCTTGTGGTGCTGCTTTCGAGCTCTCTGGTTGAAAACCACTTTAACTGCGGGAGAGGAGGCAGGAGGGTCGGACCAGCAGGGCACGGTGCTCCCCAGGAGAAATGAGTTTCCAAACCTCTTGGGAGAGGGGAGGAGAGCCCCAGTCCAGCTCCATCCACAAGCCAGGGCAGTGGGAGCAGCCTGGTGGGAAGGGGGGAGACGTTTTCCATCGAGAGCTCGGAACGGCCGATCCTTGCGGAAGTGCCAGGATGGATGAGACCCTGCTCCTTCGAGAGCCAGATCGCTGTTTCAGCACCTGTGTGCTCTGCTGGGGACGAGGACAACGCTTGTCCCACGTCCTGTTGAGGAGAGGGAAGTGGGACAGCTCCTGATTTTCCTCAGCGTTTCCCTGAGCCGGAGCAGCTCCCCAGGGGCCCTTCCTGCTTTACAAAGCTGTTGTTTGTAGCTGGGTGTTTTCAGTCCCAGCTCCCTCTCCCCCTGACCGTTCATTAACACTGATGGGTTGCCTTTTCCTGTTGCTTTTCCCCAAGTCCCCAAACACATTTTAGCACTGTCAAGTGCTGCAGCAGGTTGTGGCTGCCCTCACTTATCGACTGGCTGGAACAACCCCGAGGGTTTGCTGGAGCTGCAGATCTGTGGCTCAGCCACGGAAAGATCGGTAATTCCAGGTTCTCTTTAATTCCAGGTTCTCTTGCTCTAGTCGCTTCTTAGGAAAAGGAAAAAAATGTGTTCATTTTTCTTTATCAGAAACAAGAGGGGAGAGCCGCAGCGGGGTCCCCCCGTGGGCTCCGAGCCAAGGCTGAGCTCCCGCTCGCTCCCATCCCAATCCCACCCACACCCCCTGGGTTTTCCACCTTCCTTGTTTTATTTTCAGTTGTTTTCGTGTCGTTCCTGCTCTCCCAATTTATTCCTGTTTCCCGTGGAGGACACGGTGCTCTAAGCTTGTTAGGGTGCTCACACTGAGTCAGAGGGAAAAAAAAATTCTGCTGGGCTCAGTGCCAGTGTCTGGGTGTCCTTCCTGCCATCCCCTCCCCAGCAGCGGCACTCTCCAGGTCTTGTTCACTTGGGAATTGTTGGGATTTGGAAAATTTGGAAATCTATTGTGCAACGGGAAGTGATTTAACCCCCCTGAGCCCAGGACGCTCTCCAAAAACCTGTCTGGACTGTTCTTTAATCCAGCACCAGCCCATCCCAGGAGAGCCTGGTTTGAGAATTGAGGCATTGAAAGGGACAAAATGTGCAGGGGGGGTTCAAAATCCCCTCTGGTTTAGCTCAGGGGGTCACAGCCCAGCAAAGCCCCCACAATCCCAAACCCTGGGACTGTACAAAGGTACAGCCTCACCCTTCAAACCCTGTCCCCATCCCACCGGCTGCAGGATTGCCAAGGAAATTCTGCTCCAGCCGTGGGGATGGATGAAAAACGTGGTTGTGCTTTGTGGAGTCTCTTCTATTCAGGGATTAAACAGAAATGCTTTGATTTCACTTTGATGTCGCTTAAACTGAAGGGCCTCGAAGCAGCAAGGTGAGGACTTCACCAAAATATCTTTTCTTTTCAATATCCTAATGAAAATAAAAATTAAAAAGTCTTTTTAATCTCTATACTTTGGGGATGAAAAATCCACTTTTCGGTTCATTTCTCCTGCTTGCTGAAAAGCTGCAGCCAGGCTCATGTAGAAGGACTCGGTGTGAGGGAGAAGACCCAGGCTGGAGCAGAGATGTGGGGAAGATTTACCGCAGGGAGAAGCTGTCGGGAGCTGCCGTGCGGGGCAAAGGGCATTTCTGTGGGATTGGGATGCGGATGATTCATCTCCTCGGCTCGGGCTCACACAGAGCCGGGGCATCCTGAAGGTCTCCTGCGCTCCAAGCTTCCTTGGATGGCAGGAGAAGCGCAGGAAGGTCAGGGGATAACGGGGGGTGGATAACTGGGGAAAGTCTTGGTCGATGCCAAGGAAATGCCAAACCCCAGCGAGCCTTCTCGGATGTTTGCAGCTCCCGGGCGTCGGCCGGGACTTCTCCAGGCAGGAAGAGCGCGGGAACGGAGCTCTACCCGCAGCCAGGAGGCTGCAAAACCTCGCTCAAGGCTGAGCTGGACACCCCCAGCCTGGACTGGGGCTGTTGATCCAGCTGGAGGTGATGGGTTTGGGATGAATCCTGTTCTGTCTCCTCTTTTCCTGGTGCTGACCTTCCCAGCCTGGGGTGCTTTGCCAGAGCCGATCCGGCTGGCGGAGCCAGGGCAGCGTTCCCGGGGCAGGCGGCAACGGCACAAGGCTGAGCTTGTCCACAGGGAGCCAAAAACTTCTCGCTCAAGATGGGCTTTGGCAGAAACAATTCAAGCTACACCTGATGCTCTGGGCTTCCTGCTCCTCTCTCCAGTGTTATTTCCAAGGAAAACTGGAAGGGAGCCTACGAGAAAGATGGAGAGGGACTTGTGGAGGGGCAGGATAAGGGGAAAGGATTCAAACTGGTTTGACGGGATTTGGGCAGGAATTGTTCCCTGGCAGGGTGGGCAGGCCCTGGCACAGGGTGCCCAGAGCAGCTGGGGCTGCCCCTGGATCCCTGGCAGTGCCCAAGGCCAGGCTGGACATTGGGGCTTGGAGCAGCCTGGGACAGTGGGAGGTGTCCCTGCCATGGCAGGGGTGGCACTGGATAAGCTTTAAGGTCCCTTCCAATCCATCCTGTGATTGATTAATTGATCCTAAGTTTGCTTTGGGGACACAATCAGTTCCTCTCCATCCCCTGCATTCCCCAAGGGAATTGTCCCTGCTGGCTTTTCCCCCCACCGTGGGGCTGGCCCTGAGCACTGCAGCCCATCTGCAATGGGAAAAGGGAGCACAGACGTGGGGCTCAAGGTATGATGAGAGCTGGCATTTCTGCCATGAGGCTCACCGTGGGCTAGGAAGCAAAAATAGAGTTTGATTCACTCCCTGCCAGCCAACCCAGGTCTGTTTTTCCCTCAGAGCTCTGGGGAGATTGTCAGGTCCCATCTTCCCTCCTTCTCCCCCTCCCCACTGAGTTGCCAGGGTTCATTTTCCTTCCCAGGTCTCTTCCATGACATGAGCAGCATGATGGAAACATGGCAGTTTCAGTCCAAGCAGCAGCCCCGAGAGGGAGAAGTGTGCTGAGAGCAGGAATTCAGCTCAGGAAAGGTTTCAAGGTTTCAGGCTCCAGCTTGCTTGGAGCAAACCCCACAATTCTGCAGCTCCCAAAGAGAAAGTTCTCTTCCTCCCACCTTCCTCAGGACAGCCAAAATCTCTTTGTGTTGCTCAAAACATCTCATTTGCATTTCTGATCTGTCTTCATTCTTCTGCACTTGGACACAAACCTTTCAAACCTCGGAAAGGAGAAGATTCCCTGGAATGGCCACGTTTGTGCCGTTCTGGAAGCAGATGCAGGATGCAGGGAGTAACCTTCCCCTGCTCCCTCGGCCGAGGTTTCTTCTGCTCCATCACTGACCCAGAGAGGCATTTTGTGTCTGGAAAACACATATTCCACCCAAATAGATCCCAGATTCCCCCCAGATAGATCCCAGTTTCCCCCGGACACATCAGACCAGTCCCCAGATCACCCTTCAGCCGCTCCTCCGTGCATCCCGTGGGATGGGACAGCCGCTCTCCTTGCCGGTGATCCCAGCAGCCAACCCCGCTGTGATCCCATGGGGGATCCATGTGGGATTCCCAGCACACCTGAGCTGTGCTTTGCCTCTGGAGAGGCTGGAATCCTCCAGGTGTTCTTCGGGAATGGCTGGGAAGGGACAGGAGCGGCGGCTGCAGCTCGGTGCTGGTTGAATTTGGAGCTGTGCTGGTGGGATTTTGGGATTGCTTGGATCCGTTCCCAGGTCTTTCTGTGTCAGAGCCTCCTCAAAGGCATTTTCCAGCCTCACATTTCACTGACTCCCTGGGGCCGCAGCATTCTCGGCTCATTAGTCCCCGATCCCAGCGCTGGGCACATTCCTGACTTTCTGAGGCCTCGGGATCTTCTCCAGATCATTCCACAGGTTCTTCCCGAGGCTTTTGTGCTCTTCTTTCTGTGCTGACCCACATCCCCTCTCCCATTTGGATCACCCTGCAGTTCTGGGCACACCGGGAGTGCATCCCGGCCTTTGGACTCCTTCCTTCTTCCAAATTCCAGCTCTGCTCCATCCTCCGGCCCTGCAAATCCCTTCTCCTGCCCATCCCTCTCCCCCTGCTGCCGTCCAGACCTTGCTGAGCGCTCCAGCCTGCAGCCAGCGCCTTTTCCAACTGCCCCAGGGGAGGGAGCACGGGAATTTTAATTTCTGAGGATTCCATCCCCTCTGGAATGCGGTTTTCCACGGGGCAGAAGAAAGGTGGGGCAGGAGCTGCTTATCCCGACCCCAGGCTCTGCAAGCGGAGCCATTCCCGGGGAGGAAAAATCAGGGGATGAGGTAAGAAGAAGGAATTCCTCTCGCTGCCCCAGGCTCAGGTTTTCCAGGAGAAGGGTCGGGAAGGAAGAATCCCGTCCCTGGTCACAGCACAGGGTGATGCCATCAGCGTCACCAGAGCTGTCACCGCAGGTGTGGGCACTGCCATCCTCACCACCCACCCAAACTGGGGAGGCAGCAGCCAGGGCTGTCTCTGCTCCCTGCCTGGGAAGCCAGAGAGATCCTTCTGCCGAGGAAATTCAAAGGAGCCGAGTGACAAACTGACACAAACTTCCATTTTGCTCTTTTTTTTTTTTTTTTTTTTTTTTCTCCCCCCTTTAATTTCTTTTTGGAAAAGCTTTGGAGAAATTTCTGAAAAGGGCTGTCTCAGCAACTTCCCTTCTGCCTCATCACTCGGAGCACTGCAACATCATCAAATTAGTCAAAAGAAAACAGTGGTGCCTCTCATTTCTCCAAACAGCCAGATGCTCTCTCCGAGGGGAGGCAGCATGCCGGGCCCTGCCTGGCACCAGTGGGGGAGGGCAGGATTCCTCTTTCCTTTTTCAAGTATCAAATTCGGATTTTGGAACAGAGAAACCCCTCAAACAGGGGTTTGGATCTCTCTGGATCCAAGAGATCTGGCTGAGTGTGCAGTGGATCTGGGAGTGGTCAGAGAGGGATGCCCGGATCCTGAATCTGGCTTTTGGGATAACTCATCCAACCAACGGCCTCCATCTTCAGCATTGCTTCCAGCTTCTCAAAGACATGGAAATGGGGATTAAAAAAACACCTCATGGAATGGTCTGGGTTGGAAAAGACCTTAAAGCTCATCTTGTCCCACCCCTGCCATGGCAGGGACACCTCCTGCTGTTCCAGGCTGCTCCAAGCCCCAGTGTCCAACCTGGGCTGGAGATCTCCAAGGAGAAGGAGCCAGCTCCTCTCTCCCTGTGGCTCTCCCAAGGCAGATCCCTGGGGATGCCCAGCCCGGCTCCCTGGGGGAGCTGTGCCCTCCCCAGTGCCCACCAGAACATCCCTTCGGGCTCTCCTGTTGATAAAATCCTTTTGGAATCGTTGTCACGGTGCTGTCCTGCTCCAGCTGTGGGTGACATCCTCACAGGGATGTGCCAGCTCACCCTGTGCCCCTGGGGGCTGCAGGAGAGGAAAATAACTCATCCCAAAAATCCTGTTCCTGTCCCAGCTCGCAAACAAGGCCCTTACAAGCGAGGGGCAGGAAATATTTGTAAAATGAAGCAATTGATGGTTTTTATTTTTATTCCCCCATCTGTGCTCAGACTGGGGTGAGGCTCTGGCTGCTCTGAATGGGCTTTTCTCTCCCTGCCTCTCTCCAAAAAGACAGAGCCGGATCCTTCCGGGCAGCCTCATCCGGGGAGGGCTGCACTGGCTCTGGGCAGCCCCTGGCCAGGCACAGCACCAGAAACACCCCCAGCTCACCCTGATGGCTCTGTCACAGCCACGCTTGGCTGTGCTTTTCCAGCAGAGCTTTTTCCAGCTTTTCCTGCAGGGTCAGCCCCTCCCCGCCGTGCTCATGCAGCCAGAAATCCATCGGGAGCAGCAGCACGGATCCTGCTCCTGCCACACCCGCAGCCATGCCGGGGATCTGCAGGTGATTCCCACCTGGATGTCCCTCAGGATGGGGCACCTCACTGCCAGCTGCTGCTCGAGGCCGAGGAACGGGGCCTGTAAATCCCAAAACACCCAGGTGAACTCCCAGTTGGATTTGACATCTGGGATTTCTCCACGTTTGGCTTTGCTGCCGTGCCCACAATGAGATGCCACATTCCCAGGCCTCCGGCTGCTGCTGCCGATGGATGGATCCCTCTCCAAGCTTCCCTCGTGGGCCCTGCAGACACCTCTGTGGGAGCAGCATCCTTTGGGATCTCTGGCTGATCCCAAACTTCTCCCCGTGGTTTTCCAGTGGGTTCCTCCTGCTGAGTGCCGAGTTCCAGGAGAGCCAAGGGGCGTTCCTGATGGATTCAGTGCTTCTGCCTCGGTTTTGGGCTGCTCCTCGTGAGGAACACTGGAGGTGACTCCAGGAGCTCGCTGACCCTGTGCTGACCTGGCTGGGTGTCCCCTGGCTCCGTGGGGATCAGGGCAGGAGGGCAGGGATGTGCAGCCGTGGAAATGAGAGTTCTCCGGCAGATTTAACAGCTGGGCCCCGCTCGGAGAGCCAGACCGGCTGAGGTTTCATCCTGCTAATTCCCTGCTGGGGATTACTGGGATGGAGGGAGACTGGCCAGGGGACCCTGAGCTTGTCCTTTGGATTGGGCACGGTGGGATTGCACGTGGCTGTCCCTGGGACCCCTGGGATCCGTGTGGATCCGTGTGGATTCCAGGATCCTTGTGGATCTCCACCAGCCGCAGCAGAGATTGGGATCTGTTGCCTTTGGCTGAGGTGCTGCGGGTGGGGCTCCTTGGTTTTTTATCTGATTGAAACCTTTTCACGCCCTCCGAGGAGCCAGGTCACCAGGGAACAGCTTTCACCAGGAATCCCAGGAAAAACGGCCCTTAGGCACCTGTGCCTCCTCACTTGCACCAAGGCAGCCACTTTCCAATGTCTGGAAGGTGGCCAGAGCCCAGGGAAACATTTTGGCAGCTGAGCATGGCTCTGTAAGAGCAGAAAAATGACAGGAAAATGCTCTTTAAATGAAGTCCTTTCCTTAAGCTAAAGGAGTTCAAGGACTGTGAAACCGAATTTATTTGTATTTATTTGTCTTCCTGAAACGGAACCAAGAGCGTCCTGTTGGTGTGATTTGTGCCTGGAGCGCAAGTGTCCTACTTTGGTCAGTGCCCAAGCCCTGCCACCGTTAATGAGAAGCCTCATTATTGATTCCGTGGCATCTGGAAGGCTTTTAAGGACTGACAGCAGGAGCAAAACAGTTCCAGAGGGCATTTCTTCCGTGCCTGTGCCCATCCTGGGCCGTGGCCCTGCTCAGCCCAGCCCAGGGAGCCCCTTCCCTGCGCTGGCTCCACGGGAGCCGCCTCCTGCCCGTGTGAGCGCCACGGCCCCAAACCCCCTCGCTTTTCTCCTTGGCGAGGGCTCACGTGGCTCAGTTTGGCATCAGCTGCTCCCTGGGCGGCATTTCAGAGCCTCTCCCACACCCCAAAACGTGTGTGGTGCCGCGAGTTACACCTGAGTTACTCCTGAGTTACTCCTGAGTTACTGCGGTGTCACCGCGCGGGCCGGGGCAGCGCTGGGATGTCCTCGCTCCCGAGCCTTCCCCTCATCCCCAGCAATTCCAGGGCAATCCAGCAGTTTCCTCGGCTGAAATCGCTTCCACTCACAGCGTCTGGAAAGGTCAGGAAGAGGAGAGAGAGCTCCTGGGAGCCTCCTGTTTGTTCTGGGGTTTTATTTTCCTCTTCCCTGCTCACGAACACCGAGCTGCTCTGCAAACTCCTTCTGCCACGAGCTTTTCCAGCCTCCTTTCTCCATCTCCCTGCTGCTTTTCCCAGGGTTCCAGCTGGAGTTTGGGGTGGAGAGGCTCTGCTGTAGATCCAGCGTGGGGACAGGGCTTTCCTGAGGTGGAATTTCCATTGCGTTTGGGTTGTCCTCACCTCGGTGATTCAGCGCCTTGGCCGAGGCTCAGCCTTTCCTTCCTTCCCATGGGGCAGCAGCCAAGTTTTGGCTCCTGTGGGAAGCAGCTGGAGCAGGACCTGTGCCCGTGGTCCCAGCACCCAGGGAAACACATGGTTTTTAACCCTTCAGTTTCAGGGAAGGGGAGAGCAATCCCCAGAAAGCTTTGCCGGCTGGGATGGAGAACGATCGTGTCCTGGGGGACCTGTGGGGGAAGAGCAACGTCCCCGTGGTCCTGAACAACCCCTACTCGGAAGCAGAGCAGGTAAGAGGCCGTGGCAGGGGCTGCTTTGGGTGGGAAAACCAAAATTCCCAATGTTTGTGGGAAGGTTGGCTTGGGGGGGGCGGTTCTCACAGCGCAGGGAACCTGCAGGGACCGGGTGTTCTTGATCCCAAAAGCTGGAGGTGATGGAGGTGATGGAGCTGGGATCCCAGGAGCTGGAGTCGCTGTGGTTCGGGCAGGGAATGGAGGTCACTGGAGAATGATGCTCCTCATCCAAGGGCTGACGTGGGATGGGAGCCCAGCCAGGACGCTGAGGCCTCCCTGGGGAACGTGATCCCTTTTGGTGGCACAAGGCCAGGCTGCATCATTAAAGTCGTTTGGATTCATCTGATGGTAATTCAATAGAGCACTTCAGATAATGCGTTCCACGGTGCCTTTTCATCTCCTCACACTCCACCGCCGTAAATTCTCAGGCTTCCTTGCCAAAAGGAGATTAACTCCACGTTTGTAGCAGAGCCAGAGACGTCAGGCAGACCCTGCCAGGCCACCAAGCTCACCTCGGGGAAAGCACGACGTGCGTGAGCTCTGCCAGTGCTTGGGAAAAAGGGTCTCCCTGCTGGGATAATCCAGGGCAGGACCTGGGGCACCCGACTGGAGATCACCTCCCTGCCATGGCAGGGACACCTCCCACCGTCCCAGGAGCTCAAGCCCCTGTCCAGCCTGGCCTTGGGCACTGCCAGGGATCCAGGGGCAGCCCCAGCTGCTCTGGGCACCCTGTGCCAGGGCCTGCCCACCCTGCCAGGGAACAATTCCTGCCCAATATCCCATCCAGCCCTGCCCTCTGGCAGTGGGAGCCATTCCCTGTGTCCTGTCCCTCCATCCCTTGTCCCCAGTCCCTCTCCAGCTCTCCTGGAGCCCCTTTAGGCCCTGGAAGGGGCTCTGAGGTGTCCCTGGAGCTTCTCCTCTCCAGGTGAGCACCCCCAGCTCTCCCAGCCTGGCTCCAGCCCTCGGACCATCTCTGTGGCCTCCTCTGGACTGGCTGCAGCAGCTCCAGGTCCCTCCTGTGCAGGGCCCCAGGGCTGGATGCATTTCTCCTGGGAATCCTGCATGGAATGATGTTCCCACGCACTTCTGCAGCCCCACAGTGCCAGGGACCCACGGGGGACGCACGAGACGCTCTGAGCTGGTGCTGATGCCCCACACAGATCCCTGGGCAGGCTGCAGGGCTGGGACCAGCCCGGCCTGGTGCAGCTGGGATCCATTTCCATCCTCCCTCACCTCAGGACGGTGGCCAGGTGTCCTGGCCAGCCCCGGGGTGGGTGACAGCAGCCCCGAGCTGCAGCAGCCAGGGGAGGGAGGCAGCCCCAGGTGCCAGCACGGGGGTGATGCCCTGGGGCAGGGACAGCTCAGCGCTGCTCTGCCTTTGCCCCAGCTCTGGGAAAACTCTTCTGCCTCCTTTGCTAAGCCCCGTGCATGTCCGTGTCTGTTACTATAAGCACTTTAGAACCTTCTGTGTGCAGAGCTTAATTTCCCTCTGCGCTGGGGCTGCCAAAACCGCCACTCTTAAGCTGCTATTAAACTCTTTATATTTTTTTTTTTCCACTGGATGCACAGCTTTCTTTTTATCCTTCTTATCCCCGAATCCTTACGCCTGCTTTTCTGGAAGCAGTGTGGGTTTTTTTTTCTCCCCCAGCCGTTCCCCAGGGCTGTGTGCAGTCAAGGCAGCTGAACTTCTTTCAAGCAGCAATAAATACTATTAACACAGGGGAAAGTCAAGCCAAGTGGGAACTTTCCTTGGTTTTTTGAAGCAGGGTTGGGTGGATTCGCTTGGCCAGGTGGCGAATGTTCACTGAGGCTCGTAATAAGGTGCTGAAAGCCCCGCTGGGCATCGATCCCCGTCCCTCTGTTATTTTTTTACAAAGCCACACCGCGTTTCTCGCCGGTTTCTCTGGAGCCCTGTCCCCCCGGCCCTAACCCTGAGGATGCTCCAGGTCCTGTCTGAGTGCCCAGGGACTGATTTGTGAGCAGCTCGGAGCTCTGTGCCCCAGCAGCTCTGGGGGGAAGCCGCTCAGAGCATCTCGCTGGGGACACTGGCAGCGGTACCGAGGCAAAGGAGCTGATGCGGTCTGGAAGGAAATGTCAGCGCTCAAATAAATCCACAACCTGGCTGCCCTGGCACAGCCAGCCCGGCGGTGCCACCGCAGCCTGGGGAGCTGGGGAGCCCAGAACAGGGGATGTCCGCTGTCATTCTGTCCCCAAGGGCAGGGTAGGAGCAGACAGAGCTCCGGAGCCGCCCTGGGTGAGAGCTGTTTGCAGCCCGGCTGCAGCACTTGTGTCTCGGCTTGTCCCTCTCCTGAGTCACCGATATCCCAGCTGCCTGATTAAAACATGGAAAGATCTCAGGCAGCCTCCCTGCCAGAGCAGCGGGGAATATTTGGTGTCAGGGAAGGGACACACACACACAAACACTCAGCTCCTTCCCTCTGGGTTCTGTGTCTCCTCCGGGGTGTGGTTGTCAGACCTGACACCTCTGCTCCAGCCTGGCTGGTCCCCAGGGTTCAGCATCCCTCCCAGCAAGGCTTGTCAGGCGCTGGAACAGATTCCTGGGGTCCCACAAATCCCTGGAAGTGTCCCAGAAATGACTCTCAGTGCTCTGCTCCTGCTGCTCACTCAGAGGTGGGGATCAACCACCTTGGAGATCTTTCCCAACCTTCATGACTCTGTGATTCCAAGATTCCCGGCCTGCCCGGTTCCTGCAGGGAGAAGACAAATGGGGAAGGGAGCGGCTTCAGGGGGGTTGGAGGCAGAACATTTGCAGGCAGCATCTCCCCCTTGCTCTGAGCATGGGGACATTGCCACATCCGCATTCCCAGCACGTTTTGGGGCCACACCTGCTCCAGCAAGGAGCATTTTAGCAGCACACCTTGTCAGGAGATGAAAACTCCGATTAAAAAGTGCCGGATCCAATCAACACTCCCTGCCTGGTGCTCCCGGCTGCTGTCTGGCAGGTGGAGCTGCAGGTGAGGATTGGTTTTGGTGGCATTTCTGAGCTGTTCTCAGCACGTTTTGCCCAGCTCAGAGAGCTGCTCTGAGCAATCAGGCTCAGAGGGAAGGTGGCAGATTGTCCCCTTTGGTCCTCAGGGTGGGTCAGGGAGCACAGGACGCTGTTGGTGATTAAAGAATGATTTTATTCTCTTGGGAGAGTAAAATAATCCGAGGGGGAAAAAATGACCAGGAGCTGCCACAGCCATGATTCAGGTTGGATTCCTCAAAACTGAAAAAAAAAATAGCTTAAAAATAGTGGTTTTTCCAGGAGTACATTGAGATTATTTACTTTTTATTACCTTTTATTTACTTATTTTATTTTATTTTATTTTATTTTATTTTATTTTATTTTATCTTATTTTATCTTATTTTATCTTATTTTATCTTATTTTATTTTATTTTATTTTATTTTATTTTATTTTATTTTATTTTATTTTATTTTATTTTATTATTGCATTATTTTATTTATTTATTTTTATTACCTTTTATTTACTTCTGGGTTTGGGCTCTACATGAGGATTTCTATTTGGCTTCTGCAGCATGCAAAGGGGAGGCTGAGATGTGGTGTGTGGACATCTGGCTTCAAGGGGTAGACTTTGACACACTCCTTGGGAAAACCATGGGATTTGTGACATGAGGAATGTCAGAGATCCACGGCAGCACAGCCTGAGGGGGTGCAGGGAGCAGCTTTTGGAAACTGCAAGGACTAAAGAAGGTCCTGCTGAGCATTCAGGCTGTAAATCTCTGCCTTCCCCTCCAGCCTCTGTCCCTGGATCCCAGAATATGTTTTCAGAGCGTGGCATTACACTGCGAGCCTCAGGCTGCTCGAAATCCCTGTTTTCCAGGGAGAAAAAATAAAAAAAATCTGGAGCTTACGGTAAAAACAAGAACTGAGCAAGAAGTCTGGCCTGCAGTGCAAAGGTGTCAGCTCAGGCAGGCATCGGCCCCGGAATCAGGCAGGCATTGATCTCTCCGAGCTTTGGGAAAGCAGAGCAATCCCTGCTGGAGCAGGAACAAGTCAGACCTGGAGCCTCAGCTGCTTTGTCATCCCTGTGGCTCCTGCTGCTCTCCCTCCTGAACCAGGAGCTTCTCCCTGGTTCTTTGTTCCAGGCTGGATTTGTGCTGCTGCTGCCCCTCCCCAACAAGAGCCTGGGACCCCCAGAAAGGAGGGTGAAGGCAGCTCCATCTTCAAGAAAACCAGATTAGTTCAACAGGGACAGCAGCCCCAGGATTCCTGTAGGAAGGGACAGACCCAGCCCAAGCCCAGAGCCTTGAAGTGGTGCCAGACCCAAGCAGCTTTGGCCAGGACGCTCTCGGATGTCCCCGGGAGAGCTGCAGCAGCAGCGCCGTGGTTCCAGGGATGGAATTACATCTCCGTGTAAGGTCTGATTCCCAGGAGACAGAGCCACTGCAGGCTCCCTGTCCCCACTGGCACACCATGATGGCTCTTTAGGCTTCGAGTGCTTGGCGTGAGTAAGGGCCACAGAAGAAAACTGCGATTTTATCTGTGAAAGTGTGCAAAAAGAAGCACCTGTAAGCAGTTCTTCTCCTCACAAGCTCTGTGCTGGCTGAGGCTCTCCCCGTGCTGGCACAGAACTCAAGGAGAGCTGGATGAGCCCATCCCGTCCAAGGCAGTGTCAGGGAGCCGAGGCTGCAGAAATCCAGCCACTCACCATATCCCCACTCGGATAATTTATCCATCCTCATTCCAAGTCTTTCCAGCATTAATATCAAAGGAGCTGTGCCTTTGGCTTGCTCAGAGGGATGCTCAGCTCTCAGCTCGGCGTTGCTTGGCGCCTGCAGAGCCTGAGCAGGTGATGCTCCTTGGAAAGAAACATCCCACAGAGTTTGGAGGAGAGTCTTCCTCTGGGAAACCTGAGCACGACATTCCCCAAGTCACTTCCACCTCTGTTTTTATCCCATCATTTTCCACGTGACTTCTGAACAGACACGACTTCTGAACTCCACTGCGAGTTGGCTGCTCCATTGAGGGATCCCAAATAATGCCAAACATTGGGATAACGCTCCTGGCTGCGTCACCCCCGGAATTTAAACACAGGCACCCACCCACACACAGCCCTGGGTTGCTGGGACCTTTTTCCTGTATTTTGCTGATGAGTTCTGACCTTGTGCCGGGTATTCCCTGTTTTCCAGCCGCCGCCGTCCGGGCGCCAGTCCCCGACCAGGAACACCCTCAACGGGAGCCCCTCCAAGTGCCCCCGCTTCGTGAAAATCAAGAACTGGGAGACGGGATCCGTGCTCCACGACACCCTGCACCTCAAAACTGCCATGGTGAGCAGAGCTGGCAGGACTGGCCAAAATTCCCTGAGCGTCGTTGAGCGGATGGCGCCGTTTCCCAGACGGATTTACCGGGGAATGTGGAAGTGGAGGAATTCAGTCTTGTCTCCAGCAGGGTTTGAATTTCAAATCTTTGCTGCAATAAGCAGAAGGGGGTGGAAATCCACCTGGGATAAACAAGGAAAAGCATTTGACTTCATGCCGAGCTGGGGTGGGAATCCCATCTCTCCAGTCAGGAGGGACAAGAGGTGACTGCACATGGCCTGGCTGTGTCACTGTCCCCACCCAGCGGGGAATGTCCCTGCTTGTCCGACACCACCGCCCTCCGTGGAGGTGACCTCTGCTGCCCCAGCCCAGCTGGGGTGACCAGAACGTCCCTGTTCCCTCTGTCCCCTCAGGCCACGGCGTGCACCGAGCAGATCTGCATGGGCTCCGTGATGACCCCCAGCCCCCACATCCGCAAGTCAGAGGACACCAGGACCAAGGAGGAGCTGCTGCTCCTGGCCAAGGACTTCATTGACCAGTACTACTCCTCCATAAAGAGGTGAGCGTTGCCTGCAGGAGCCCACAGCCCAGGGCTGCCACTGCTGTCCCACGTGTCACCCTGGGCCTGGCACAGGAAGGACCTGGAACTGCTGGAGAGGAGGCACCAGGATGGTCAGAGGGATGGAGCAGCTCTGCTGGGAGGAAAGGCTGGGGGAGTTGGGATTGTTCGGCCTGGAGAAGAAGCTTTGGGGTGACCTTATTGTGGCCTTCCAGTGCCTGAAGGGGCTCCAGGAGAGCTGGAGAGGGACTGGGGACAAGGGATGGAGGGACAGGACACAAGGAATGGCACCCCATGGACAGAGAGCACGGATGGATGGGATATTGGGAAGGAATTGTTCCCTGGCAGGGTGGGCAGGCCCTGGCACAGGGTGCCCAGAGCAGCTGGGGCTGCCCCTGGATCCCTGGGAGTGCCCAAGGCCAGGCTGGATGGGGTTTGGATCAGCCAGGGACAGTGGAAGGTGTTGCTGCCCATGGCAGGGGGCGGATGAGATGGGTTTTAGGGTCCCTTCCAGCCTAGGCTGTTCCATGATTCCATGATTCCATGATTCCATGATCTGATCTCTCACGAGTGCGACTCCCAGCACGGGGAGACTCTGGCGCTCCATCAGCAGCTGCTCCTCAAGCAGAGTTTCATTCCCGGTGTTTGTTGTGTCCCTGCTCAAGTCACCGTCCTCTCCCCCTGCTCCTTGCTCACCCGTTATCCCAAAGCTGGGATAACCATCCACACCATCCCTGTCTGTGTGTGTAGGAGCAAGGTATTCCAGGTGGAGAGCAGCAGCATTCCCTGCCTCACCCTCCCCCTCCTCTGCTCCCAACCTTCCCAGATCCGGCTCCAAGGCCCACATGGAGAGGCTGGAGGAGGTGACCAAGGAGATTGAGGCCACTGACACGTACCAGCTGCGGGACACGGAGCTGATCTACGGAGCCAAGCACGCCTGGAGGAACGCGGCGCGCTGTGTGGGCAGGATCCAGTGGTCCAAGCTGCAGGTGAGCACCAATCCCACCAGAAACACCCAGGACACTCCTGCCAAAGGGTGTGCCGGGGTTTTGGAGAGGCAAATCCCGCTCTCCAACAGCTGGGAAGCACAGCAGAGGTCCAGGGGCAGGCGTTCAGCACACACAGCTCCCCTCAGCAGCTTTGGGGCGTCAGCAGGAGCTGGAGGAGTGTCTGTGGGATGGGAGGTGAAGTGGCTGTGTCTGAAGGAAGCTGCTACTTCAGGTGACATTTTCCAAAATCAGGTCCTGCTCCAACATCTTTCCTGCTGCCTCCAAACTTGTTGTTCCACCTGGAGCGAGGCAGCAGGACACGTTTGGCCTCAGTACTGAGATCCAGCAGGAGGGGATTTGGCTCAGGGCCCTTTTGGCAAGGGAAACACAGAACAGGATTGGAAATCAGTGATCCCTAGGGAATCCCTTGGTACAGAGGTGTCCTCCCATCGTGTAACCTGGAACAAATCCAGTGCTGCTGAGCAGTTCCTGTGGCTGCTTCACACAGGGAATGGGCACAGCCACTTCTGTTAATTCTGTTAATCCCCCTTCCTGGTTTCCCAATGTTTTCATGGATGCCCCATCCCTGGAAGTGCCCAAGGCCAGGCTGGATGGGGCTCGGAGAAACCTGTGGAAGGTGTCCCTGCCATGGGCAGGGGTGGAATGAGATGTTCTTTGAAAGTCCCAACCCAAACCATTCCATGATTCCACGATTCCATGATCCCACAATTCCATGATTCCACAATTCCATGATTCCATGATTCCATGGTTCCACAATTCCATGATTCCATGATTCCACAATTCCATGATTCCATGATTCCATGATTCCACAATTCCATGATTCCATGATTCCATGATTCCACAATTCCATGATTCCATGATTCCATGATTCCACAATTCCATGATTCCATGATTCCATGATTCCATGTCCCTCAGACGTGACCGACACCTGCCCTGTTCCAGCTTTGAGTGCTGATCTACAAGAGAAGCAGAGCAGAATCTTTAATTGTTGGGGGATAAGGCAGGAACAGCAGCAGGTTGGGAGCACGGGAATGAGGAGGTTTTTGCCTGAGCAGCAGATGAGTCACCTCTCCAAAGAAAAAAGGGGCAGCTGGATTAGACATCCACGTGTTCCAAAGGCAGGGAACACATAATTACGGAGCTTTAGATCCCTGAGAAGCCGCGGTGGTGCCTGGAGTTCTCCGTGTGCCGTGTTTCCTCTGCCTGGCTCTGCCCGAGGAGCTGGAACATCCCCACAGCTGCTTCCCTGTTTCAGGTGTTCGATGCCCGGGACTGCACCACGGCCCACGGGATGTTCAATTACATCTGCAACCACATCAAGTACGCCACCAACAAGGGGAACCTCAGGTGAGCCACCAGGGAGTCACCAGGGTTTGAATCCGAGGGCCTCTGGATGAGTGGAGAGCCCCAACTCTGGGCCCTGCTGGGGTTGGATCTGGGCCCAACAGCCAAGAGCAATCCTGGGAAATGTTAGAGGGACCTGACCTGGGCTGGAGGAGTCCTGCTGGCCCAAATCTCTCTCTTCTTGCTGCCTGTGGGACCTCAGAGGGAAGATTTTCCCCATTATTTCCCCACTCCTATATTCTGCATCTGACACAGAGCTCAGACTGCTCTCCAGAACCATCTGAAACCCCCTGTTAGCAGCCAGGAGCTGGGAACACCCCAAATTCCAGAGCCACGACATCCTCCAGCGTGACAACTCCTTGGGAATCACTCGGGGCACACCCAGAGCTGGCGATGGCAGCACCTTTTCCTCCAGCACTTCACCACTCCCGGCACTCACCCCAGCGCTGCCTTTCCCTTCCAGATCCGCCATCACCATCTTCCCGCAGCGCACGGACAGCAAACACGACTTCCGCATCTGGAACGCGCAGCTGATCCGCTACGCCGGCTACAAACAGCCCGACGGCTCCGTCCTGGGCGATCCCGCCAACGTGGAGCTGACCGAGGTGCCCAGCCGCGATTCTCAGCACCCCCCGAGGGAGGAAGGGCCGGGTCAGGCGGGTTGGGATTGTCCAGTGCAGCACCACAGCGGGAGGTTGGGTTTGTGTCACCCTCAGGTGTTTTTCCCTCGGGAATAAAGGCTGGGTTTTGTCACTTTTCTGCTTTTCCCAGCTGGTTTTTCCTTCACCATTACAGGCACAAGGCGTGATCCTACCGGGGATCTATTCCAGGCTCATTTTCACCCCAGATTCCCCTGACTTGGCCGTGGGTGGGCTGGGACAGGCCACCCCCTGCTGTAGCTCCCTTTGCTAAAGGACAGAAGGACAGAAATCCTGCCAGGAGCTGTTCCCAGGACCACACAGCTCCCTGCCCGCGGTGTCTGAAGAGCAGGTGACCTGCTGGGACACCAATCCCACCTTTCCCTTCCCTGCAGATCTGCATCCAGCAAGGCTGGAAGGCACCGTACGGGCGCTTCGACATCCTGCCCCTGCTCCTCCAAGCCAACGGCAACGACCCCGAGCTCTTCGAAATCCCGCCGGAACTGGTGCTGGAAGTGCCCATCCGGCACCCCAAGTGAGTCAGGGTGGTTTGGCAGCCCCAAAACCGCTCGAGGGGATCAGCAGGACTGAGCTCCTCCGGTGCCATGGCCTGGGGGCTTCACCCAAGACCTTCTCCCAGGTCTTCCCTCCAGTAAAGTGGGCAGAGCTGTCAAGGAAGCTGTGTCCGTGTCTCAGGGCTTTCCCTCGTATCCAGATTGATTTCCCTTGAAGTCTCCCAGGGCTTGCACCGCTCCTGTGCCCATAAACAGCCCAAAAGGGAGGTGCTGATGGAAATGTTCTGCTCAAGTCTTTCACCCCGGTGGCAAAGTGACCTCCCCCATCCCTCTGCCTGCATTGGACAGGGAATTCCTGGCTGGTTGCCTGATCCTGACGTTTTTTCCCCGGCAGGTTTGAGTGGTTTAAGGAGCTGGGCCTGAAGTGGTACGGGCTGCCAGCCGTTTCCAACATGCTCCTGGAGATCGGGGGCCTGGAGTTCTCCGCCTGCCCCTTCAGTGGCTGGTACATGGGCACGGAGATCGGCGTCCGCGACTACTGCGACAACTCCCGCTACAACATCCTGGAGGTAATTCCTGCTGCTCCTGGCCCCTGGGGAGTTTCTGGGGAGCAGGCAGGACACTGGGAGAGCGTTTCTTGGAGCGGGAGAGTACAGGACACCCCTTCTCCTGGAGCCACTTGGCCGAGGTTGGCAAGGTCTGTGGGTCCTGTGGGGCCAGCAGGTGTCTGACACAGCCTGTGTGATCCCTGTGGAGCTTCCCACAGGCTTCCCAAAGAATCTTAGGGATCAGCACGGTCATGAAACAGTGCAGGGACACTTGGTGGCTCCTCAGGGATGCGTGTGCCCTTGGGGACCCTCAGCTGGTCCCATTGCTCAGGGGCTGCCCACACCGGGAGAGACAAAGCCAAGCCATGGGAAGGTGCCCGGGCAAGGTCCATCAAAACTTTCCAAGGAATGTTGTTTTATTTAGAGGGGCTCCATCCTTCCCTCCCCTGGAAAATGTGGGAGCAGTGTGAATGTCCAGCTGCTCCTCTCCGCAGCATTTGGCCACCTGCCTCTGCTCAGGGCGGAGGAAAGGCCGTGCTCCTGCCTTGGAGAGGAAAAGGCAGGATTTCATCAGCCCTCCCCTGCCCTGTGGGTGCCTTGTGCCAGCCTGGGCCTCTCCTCCGGGCTCCTCTCCCCAAGCAGAGCGCTCCAATCCTTGTTTTTTGGCCGTCAAACCCTTCCTGCCATGTGTCCTTACAGCAAGTGGCCAAGAAAATGAACCTGGATATGAGGAAAACCTCCTCGCTGTGGAAGGACCAGGCCCTGGTGGAGATCAACATCGCTGTGCTCTACAGCTTCCAGGTACCTCGGGACCCTGGGCCAGGCTGGAGGGACACAGGGACTGGGTGGGACAAGCGTGGAGACATCCACCCAAGGACAGCGGCTGAAACTGGGCTGTAACTCCCGGATTTGGGCTGCTGCACTGAGATTTAATAATCCCCACACTCTGGATGTTGTAAAACAACACTGCCAGCACCTGAGTCCTGCTGGTCCAGAGGGAATATCCCAACAGGGGGAAAATCCAGCCCTTCTGACCTATCCATGAGGCAGGAATTGACCCAGGTTCTCCCCCAGCCTGCACTTCAGGGTTGAGTAACAAAACCAGTCCTTGGCAAGCCGGCTTCAGAGGGTGGGAGTCCTTCCCAGAGCCGGGTCAGAACTGCCCTGTTGGAAGAGCTTCCCATGCTCCATCCCATCCATCCCATCTGTGCTTGGCCCGGGACAATTAACAGTGGGAACAGGGCTCCCACAGCACATCTATTCTCAAAGCTCTGGGATGCTCTTTTGGAGCCTCCTCGGGAAGACCAGGGTCAGCAGCCACCTTGGATCATCCCCAAAGACCCTGGGAGTCAGGAATATTTGGGACAAACAGCTCCAAATGTAAAATGTTGGCTTTTTCCCCTCTGGGATGTGTTGACAAGCGCTGTCTCTGCTGTCTCTGCCCCGGCAGAGTGACAAGGTGACCATCGTGGATCACCACTCGGCCACCGAGTCCTTCATCAAGCACATGGAGAACGAGTACCGCTGCCGGGGCGGCTGTCCCGCCGACTGGGTCTGGATTGTCCCGCCCATGTCGGGCAGCATCACCCCCGTGTTCCACCAGGAGATGCTCAACTACCGCCTGACGCCCTCCTTTGAGTACCAGGTGCTGCCCCCACTCTGCCTTCCTCCGCTGCCCTGTGGCCAAGGGCGGGTGGGAGCTCAGGAGGTGCAGGAAGGAGAGGGACACTGTCCAATTCCTTCACAAGCTGTGCCTCAGTTCCATGACAAGTGCAGTTTCACCCTGACATAGTGTGGTTTTGTAATAATAATAATAATAATAATAATAATAATAATAATAATAATAATGATGATGTTGTGGGACACCCGAGCTCCTGATTTGTAATCACACAGAGCTGCTCCTCTCTGGGGGTGCCCAATGTGGGGGTGAGGAAATGGCCTGGAAGGCTCCTGTATCCCATTCCAGCCTGCAGGTTTGAGGGGATGGCTCCTGTATCCCATTCCAGCCTGGTTTGAGGTTTGAGGGGATTGTTCCTGTATCCCATTCCAGCCTGGTTTGAGGTTTGAGGGGATTGTTCCTGTATCCCATTCCAGCCTGGTTTGAGGGGATGGCTCCTATATCCCATTCCAGCCTGGTTTGAGGGGATGGCTCCTGCGTCCTGGGGATCCAGCAGCAGGGCAGGGGCTCCGGCCCAGCAGGGGATGAAACGCTGCTGCTGGGATGTTTAACACCCCAGGCCATGAGGAAAAACCCCTAAGCAAACACTCCCTTGTTATCCAGCCATCCCCGCTCCGGTGCTTTCCACACAATGTGACCTTTAGTGGAGAGCCCTTAAGGAATAATGGCAGAGCAGGAGCAGTCTGTTCACTCCTGTAACCAACCCACCAGGCACCCCGATGATTCCTGGCTCTGATTGCAGCCTGCAAGGGCACGGAATGAGCTTCTGTGTGCTGGCTCCTGGCTTCAGCTGCCTCCCCTTCCCAAAGGGCCTCTTAGGGAAAAAAAAACCTGTGGCCAGAGCAGGGGAAAGGATCTGTTTCCATCACCTCTCCCCTTCTGGCGTTGCCTTCTCTTTGGCTGTGGCCTATTAACGCTCCTCTCGAGAGGTGACAGAGCAATTGGCCAGATGCTGTTACAAGCCAGCAGGGTTTATTAGATTGCAATTTTCCTGGGCATGTTCTATTGCCCAAAAAAAAAGCCCCATGAGGCTCCAAGGACCAGGGACATAGAGAGGAGAGGCAGAGCTGTGGAGGAGCAGCTCCCTCCCCTTCCAGACTGGGAGAATTTAACTCTCAGTGCTGTGGATGCTGCATTTCTCCAAGCTCTGAGCACTCCCCACCATCTGATCCTGCTTTTCCCTCTCCTAGCCGGACCCCTGGAACACCCACGTCTGGAAAGGGGTCAATGGGACCCCCACCAAGAAGAGGGCCATTGGCTTTAAGAAGCTGGCAAAGTAAGTCCCAGCAGGCTCTGGAAAAGCCTGGAATGTTTGGATTTAAACCCCCTATGGGTGTGTGCATCACCCTATGGATGATGGGCTCTGGGCCTGGGCTTTGGGCCACTGAAGGCTTTTGCCATGAGGGACATCTGGGGACACAGGCAGTCCTCTGGGGGCGTGACCAGGTGAATACCTGATCTTGGATATTGCTTGTTCTCCAGAGCTGCTCATTCTTCAGTTAGGAGGTCTTGATGCTCAGGGATGGCTTTCCCACTTTTTGAGGGTGTTTTTCCTGGTTTCCCTTTCCTTGGGGCAGGAAGATTCCCCCCACCCCCGTTCAGGGCTGTGCTGGCACTAACGAGATGACGCTCCTGTCCATATTCCTCCTTTTCCCACTGACTTTTTCCCTGAGTGAGGAGAACCTGTGTGTGCCCAGCCCTCCAACACCTGCTCTGGAAGGAAGGGGGGAGATGGGAATGAGGAGCCTCCCTGCAGGTAGCAGATGGATCAGGGCTGAGCTGAGATTTGCACTTCATGGCCAGTTGACCCCTGGCAAGGGGCCACCCCAGTCCCTCTCGGCTGCCAAGGCTCCTCAGCAGCAGGGATGCAGGAATGAAGCGCAGTTTGGACCCTTTGGCTGATTTTGGCCCGAATTCCTCCCCTGTGGGCTATTGGCAGGGAGGAGCTGCTGGTTCCGTGGCAGCAGAGCCCTGGGCCAAGGCAGGAGAAGGGCTGGGTGTGCCCTGGTGGCGGTGGCCAGGCTGCCAGGTGGCCCTGGCTCGTCACAGCATCTCCCCACGCTTCAGTTTCCCCGAATCCCTGCTATCAATTTGTTCCCACTCTTCAGCTGTCACCTCCTGCGAGCTGTTCTCCCTGGTGCATCCATAAACAGGATCAGCAGCTGAGGAATGTGCTCCTGCAGCTGACACTGGGGGAAGAGCAGGAGGATTCGTGGAGTTTGGGGGAAAAAATGCTTTTATTGCTGAGGTTCCCATTGAGGGATGGTTTTATGACAGTGTGAGAGTGGTAGGTAATTTAAAACAAAATCTCTATTGTTTCTGATGTAGGGAAAGGAATTGGTTTTGTAATTCACCATTAATCCAGTCTGGATCTGAGCTTATCAGCTCTAGAAGAGGCAGCCTGAGCCCAGAGCCTTGAGCATGATTTGGTGCCTGCTCAGACTCAAAAATCTGAGCACTGAGACCTGCAGGCCCTGCCCCACCTGCCCCTTCCCTGCCCTGGGGACAGGGGACACTGCCACAAAGGGGAAACAAAGGGGATACAGCAGCAAACAGAAACATTCCTGAGGCTGACTTTGCCATGGAGAGGAGCTGCCAGGGACAGGCAGGATAAACCAGCCTGGAGGAGTTTCTACCTCTCCTTTCCTCCTTTTTTCCTCCCTAAATGATTCCCCAAAACCAGAATATTTCTGGGCAGGGGGAAGCTGGATTCCTCCTGCCCAATGTGAGCACTCCAGCTGCAGCCTCCATTCCCCACAGCTCATCTGAAGGGGATGCAGGGTCCTGCTGAACTCAAAAACCTCAAGGGCTGTCAAAGTGAATGCAGAGATGCTTTGTGCTCCCTCAGCCTCCCCAAAATTGCCTTTCCCTGTTGCAACATCAGCCTAAATCCAGACCTGATGGATTCCTGCCTTCCTGGTGGCCCCATTTAAAGAGCTTGGTGGTCCACTCAGGAAAACAGAAGATGTTTGGCATGCAGGAAAAGCAGTGATTATGAATGTCCCTAACACAACAAACCCACAACCCCTGCCCCCCATCACCCAGCTGGATTTAAGGGATGGAGGAGCTGCTCCAGCTCTGCTTAGTTCCAGCTTTTCCCTTGGCATTACCTGCCCCTGGCTCTTCTCCTGCTTCTCTGCCCCTGCAGAAATCCCACCCCCATGCCTGGTTTAGAATTTTCCTCCTTCAGCCCATTCAGGTATTTGGGCTCTGTTCAAGCTCCCCCATCTCCTTTTCCTCTCTGACAAGTCGAGCTCTTCCAAGGCTTCCCTGTTTGCCATATAACCACCAGAAAAACTGATGCTACAGCTTTGTAAGGCTGTTCATTTAATAAGAAATCAAAAGGGCTGGGCTAGAGGCACCGGGAAGGACCAAGCTCTGACTGGGATGTATTCCTGCTTCCCAGGGCTGTGAAGTTCTCAGCCAAGCTGATGGGCCAAGCCATGGCCAAGAGGGTCAAGGCCACCATCCTGTACGCCACGGAAACGGGGAAGTCGCAGGTCTATGCAAAAACTCTGTGTGAGATCTTCAAACACGCCTTTGATGCCAAGGTATTGTAGCGGCTCCCGGCTCCTGGCACGTGATGGCTGTCAAATCACGGCTGCTCCAAGGAAATACGTGGAAAACAGCTGCCAAGGGCCTTGGGGATGTGAGCCTGTGGGTCTGGGTTGGAGTCTGCACAGGGATTTCTCCAGCTGATTTCCTGCAGCCCCTGTGGGGCAGCTCCAGGGCTGCCCGTGTCCCTCCAGGCTCCCGTTCCCATCCTCCCCCTGCAGAGATCTCAGCAGGGATGTGCTGCTCCCATGCCCAGGGGCACCAGGGCCAGCCCAGGCGGCTCCCACCCCTCTGCAACCCCTCTGTGCCCCCAGGTGATGTCCATGGACGAGTACGACGTCGTGCACCTGGAGCACGAAACCATGGTCCTGGTGGTCACCAGCACCTTCGGCAACGGGGACCCCCCCGAGAACGGAGAGGTAGGACAGCAGGGAGGGGTGGCTGCAGCAGGGGACAGCAGTGGGACAGGGCCAGGAACGTCCTCTGTTGGCTCAGGCTGAGCTGGAGTGACCCGAAACAGGTCCAGGTGCTGGAGCTGCCTCCAGCCTGCTCTGGAGCTGGGATATCTCCCGGTTCCTGCCATGAGCAGCCCCTGATCCATTGTTAGATCCATCCTGGGTGATCACCCCCGGTGTCACACAGAGGGTGACGGTGCCCTGGCTCGGGAGCCAGGAGCCACAGCCCAGGCTGTGCTCAGGCCTTGGTTTCCTGCAAAACCTGGCAAAAGTGATGGCCTTTTTTATTCTTTTCCTGTAGAAATTTGGCTGTGCGTTAATGGAGATGAAGAATCCCAACTCCAACCTGGAGGAGAGGAAGTAAGAGCGCCCCAACCCCCGCCCCTTCCCCTCCCAATCCAAACCCCAGCATGCAGGACAGGCTCCCTGCCTTCATCCTCTCACAAGGGAGTGGGAAATCCTCAGGCAGATCTCACATTTACAAACATCCAGGAACGGGAGCTGCCTGGAGACCCTGGGAATGGAGAGGGTGGAGGAAGGAAGGACAAAAGCACGGAGTCAGGGGTGCCTGTGGACCCCAGCTTGTAATTCCCTGGGATGACACCTTAAAACTTCTCTCTTCATCTTAAAGAGGCAGGAATCTATTAAAAAAAAAACCCCAATCAAACAGATAAAAGTAGGAATTTCCCCAAAATCATCGATTCTGAGAGCCAGGGCCTGTCCAGGAGGCACCAAAATAGTAAAAGCTGGAGGTAGAAGGGAGTTCCCAGCCTTGCAGATGTAGGTGGGGGAGGGATTGAGAACCAGATTTAGCTCCATGCATGGTGTGAAAAGATTTCTAGGGAAAATAGGAGCTGTGATAATCCTGTGATGTTTGTAACCGGTACCTTGGAGACAGAATCTGGGATTGTAGAAAATCCCCTTTCAGGGAAAAATGAGCTTTGAGCATCTCCGTGCACATCCCAGGGGCTGGGAAAGGAGGGCAGTGAGAATAATCATTTGGGGCCTCTTCTTATTTTAGCTCTGAGGAATAAAACATTTCCCTGAAGTGGGGCACTGCTCTGCTCTGGAATGTCTCCTGAGCTAACGACTGGCACAGGGCTGCTCCTTAATTAAGGATGGATCAGCCCTGGCCGGGGATGCAGGGCAGTTCCAGGGCTTGGAGCGGTGTCACTGGGGCTGTGGGAGGTGACAAACGTGGCAGGGCCCAGTCTGTCCAGAGACAGCCCCGAGGTTCTCTCCTGGCTGTGCAGCTGAGGGCTCCCTGCAGGACATCCCTGCCCAGCTGAAATCCCATTTGGATCCCAATGGCCTCGTGCCTTAATGGGGACAGCGACAGAAGCGGGCGTGCAGGCTGCCCTGGAGGGGCTGGGGTGGAGAAGGAGCATTCCACACGTGGTTCTCACCCCAAGGATCTTCTCCTTGGCTGCAGAGTTGCTGCCCATGGTCAGTCAGGCAGATCTAAAAGCCTCTGAGCTCAGTGCTCACTGTCCCAAACACCTCCAAGGGCTGGTGGGGGTTCCTTAGAGCCAGGCAGGGACACCTCCCACTGTCCCAGGCTGCTCCAAGCCCCAGTGTCCAGCCTGGCCTTGGGCACTGCCAGGGATCCAGGGGCAGCCCCAGCTGCTCTGGGCAAACTGGTTTTGGGATTGTCCCAACCAATATCCAGGACCTTGCTAAGATCAAGCACAGAAAAAAACCTTTGGCAATGAGAAAAGGAGACCTGGAGGAGACTGTCAGGGGAAGAGGGACAGTGTCAGCCTGCTAAAAGAGAGCTGGAGAGAACAGTTCCTGTCCCTGCACCACATGGAGTGCCCCAGGGAATGCTGAGACCCCTCAGGGCAGGGTGGTCTCTCTAGTGTCCCCCCAGTGTCACGGGGTCCTGTCAGGGCTCTGTGGCCACAGCTCTCTGCCCACAGCCCTGGGGCTGTGCTGGGGTTGATGTTTGGCTCCTCATGCTTTACAGCAAAGGTTTTCCAGGCTTTTTCTGCAGCATTCCTAAACCATTCCTGCTCCAAGGCTGCTGTTCAAATGCAGCCCATCCCTCAGCAGCCACCCTCCACCATCTCATTCCAGCTGCTGTCCCAGCCTTGGGCCCAGCACCCACCCGGGGAATTTGGGCTTTGTGTCCGTCTAATCCAGAGGGTTGTGCCGCCCTGAGCAGAGTCTGGGATTGCAGAAAATCCCCCCCACTGGAAGATGAGCTCTGAGCATGTGGGGCTGGGATAACCCAGGGCCAGCAGAGTGGGCTGGGGCAGGAGGAGGAGCAGGGGAGGCCTGGGGAGAGGCTGAGGAGCAGCGGGGGCACCGGGGGCTCTGTGACCTGGGGGCTGAGCGCTCCGCGTGCCGTGACTCATGCACACACCACTGCTCACTGCTCTGCCTGTAAATTTAGAAACTCTTGTGTGGAGCAATTTTGGGAGATGGTTCAATTCAGAAATACTTCTGCTGTTGTCAGATTTTTTATTTTTTTTTTTCCCCCTCTGCTCCCCTTCCCCCTCCTCATCCCTTCTTCTCTCACTCTTTTTTTTTTTTCATTTCCCACTTCCTATGAATGAAACAACCCTCAGAATATCTCTTCAGACACACAGCCGACCTTGTGTGCTGCCAGGGAAGGACAGGTGAAGCCAGAGGTCCTGGCAGCTCTGCGTCACTGTGGACGATGTGGGAGGTGACAAGGACCTGGTGGAGCATTCCTGCTCCAGCTGGGGGATGCTCGGGGGTCTCTGGGAGCGCTTCCCTCTGCTCTTCCCACAGTGCCTGCCCATGGAACTGTGAGCCCTGAGCTCTGCCTTGGTGTCCCCACCGCCGGGTCCCCTCTGGGCACGGAGGGAGGGGGAGCCAGCGGGGAGAGCCCGGGGTAACCCTGGGTGCTGTCGCTGTTCACAGGAGCTACAAGGTCAGGTTCAACAGCGTCTCCTCCTACTCGGACGCGCGGAAATCCTCCAGTGATGGCCCCGACTCCAGGGACAACTTCGAGAGCACGGGGCCCCTGGCAAACGTCAGGTAAAGGGGACAGGGCAGGGGGACAGAGCAGGAGCTGGTGCTGCACAGATCCCGTCACTCCCACCGCTCCCTGAGGCATTTTGGGATGTGCAGACCCCTCCAGGCTGCTGTGGGATGTGGTGGGACAGGAGGGGACGTGCCAGTGCCAGAGCAGCCACGGCTGGGCCGTGTTTCCCCAGGTTCTCCGTCTTCGGGCTGGGCTCCCGTGCTTACCCCCATTTCTGCGCCTTCGCCCGCGCCGTGGACACGCTCCTGGAGGAGCTGGGGGGAGAGAGGATCCTCCGCATGGGAGAAGGGGATGAGCTCTGTGGCCAGGAGGAATCCTTCAGGACCTGGGCCAAGAAGGTCTTCAAGGTAACCTGGGGCTGGAGCAGCAGCGGGGAGAAGGACAGAGGTCCCCAGAGGTCTGGGAAGGAGAGCACCACACGATGTGCCCACGGCCACCGAGCCAGCCCTGCACTGCTGGGGGCTCCTTCTCCACCTGGCTTGGGCTTTGGGGGTGGGCTGGGCTCGGGGGGTGCCTGAGGGCCTGCTGCGTGCTGCAGGCAGCGTGTGACGTGTTCTGCGTGGGGGACGACGTCAACATCGAGAAAGCCAACAACTCCCTCATCAGCAACGACCGCAGCTGGAAGAGGAGCAAGTTCCGCCTGACCTACGTGGCCGAGGCCCCGGAGCTCACACAAGGTACAGACGGGCTCACCTGGATGGAGAGGACACCGGCCCAAAGGGGCCAAACCCCCATTTTTGTCTCTGTTGAATTCCCAGCGTTTCAGCCCTGCCTTTCTGCCCCATCCCATGCCCAAGGAGCAGCCCCAGGCCCCTCTGGCCGGTCCCTGTCTGTGTCTGTAACAGAGATGTTCGGACACGATCTGCTCTCCCTCCTCCTGACCCCGTTTTTTGAAGCGAGGAGCTGGAAACTTGGGATCTTTCCAAGCTTGTTTTGTCCAGTGCCGCTCCACCAAGCGCTGCGGAGCAAAGGCAGGCCCGGCCCACGGACACCTGGCCCCTCAGCACGGCTCCTGCAGCGCAGGATCTGCCGCACCGGCCCCGCTCTTCCCAACCCCAGGCGCTCTCCTGCCAGCCAGGTGGCACCGGCAGCGAGAGGAGGCCGTGGGCAGAGCGAGGGCACAGCCCTTGGTCTCATGGAGGTGCTTTTGGAGCCTTCCTCTGTCGCTAAAACCCGTGCTTGTTTCACCCCTGGGGTTTCTGATCCCTCGGGCTCGCAGGAGGGAGGTCAAACCCCCGTGGTCAGCTCTGCTCTGAAGGGCTGAACCCACAGCGATCCCCCAGAAGCCTTGGCCATGCTCTGCTGAATCCCTTCCCCGACTCTTTTCCTCCTCAGGACTGTACAGCATCCACAAAAAACGCGTCTACGCGGCGCGGCTCCTCACGCGCCAGAACCTGCAGAGCCCCAAGTCCAGGTAGGAGACGCCGCGGTGCCGGGAGCTGAGGGCAGCACCTGGGGCACCCAAAGCAGTGCCAGAAACAGCCCTTGGAATGCCCATGGAATCCAGCTTTGTGCAAAGCACCACTGGAAGCCAGTGGAGGGTGCTCCTGACCTCCCCACGGTGAAATTGCTGCCGGTGCCTCCCTCAGCCCACGGGATGGGGAGCTGGCCGGGGTGGCAGCAAAGGGAGGATAAAATTGCTGAGCAAGAGGTTAAATTGGTTTTCCCCTTTTAAAAAAGCCTCTGAGGATGAATCAGGGTGTGCTGCAGTGTCCCTTCTCCCTGCTGTGACCTTGGAGGTGCCGCCAGCAGCTCCTGAGGCCGGGGCTCAGCGGCTCCCTGAAGGATTCCCCAAAACACTTTTTCCTGCTTCTCCTCCTCCTCCTCCTGCAGCCGCCTGACGATTTTCCTGCGCCTGCACACCAACGGGCACCAGGAGCTCCAGTACCTGCCCGGGGACCACCTGGGGGTGTTCCCAGGGAACCACGAGGACTTGGTCAATGCCCTCATAGACAGGCTCGAGGATGCCCCTCCGACCAACCAGCTGGTGAAGGTGGAGCTGCTGGAGGAGAGGAGCACGGCTCTAGGTAACCAGGGAGTGCAGGTGGCCTCTCTCCTGCTTTCCCAGCTCCTGAGGTTCTTGTAGCTCCTCAGGGAGGTGGGTGGCTCCAGGAAAATTATTTTCATCTCCCTGCTGTGTTTGCCTGGATTGGGAGCACCTCCTTCATCCCTGCTCTGCCCAGAGCCATTGCTGGTCTGCACCTGGGATGTGGAGCAAGGGTTTGAAGGGTGGGAAGACATTTCCTTATTCCATGGAAAAACTAAAGGTGTTTATATTCCCTTGGAAAGGGGAGTGTCTAGGACTGGGAATAAGAGCTAAGGGATCTTGAGGGGCCATCCCCACGCTGTATTTCAGGGATAAGTCTGATTCCCCACTGCCATGCACGGTGTAACTGGAGATGGAAAACCAGAATCCAGTGTCTCAGAGGGGGATGAAAACCAGGATTTGCCCACCTTGGCTCTGCTGCTCAGCTGATCCCGGGCTTGTGCTGGATTCCCTCCTGGCAGGTGTCATCAGTAACTGGACAGACGAGAACCGTGTCCCACCCTGCACCATCTTCCAGGCCTTCAAGTACTACCTGGACATCACCACCCCTCCCAGCCCGCTGCTGCTGCAGCAGTTCGCTCTGCTGGCCACCAGTGACAAGGAGAAGAAACGTCTGCAGGTCCTCAGCAAGGTAAAGAGCCCAAACCCCGGGTTCTGCAAGGCCCTGGTGACAGTCACAGCCCAGCCAGGACATTTTCATCCCACACTGTGCTTAGGCTGAGGGTGCCTTCGCTGCCACCCACTCCAGCTTTGCCACACACCTCCTGGGATATCACTTGAGGCCCCTGGAAGAGGCAGATCCTGCAGCTCTCTCCTCCCTCCCCCTTTCCCAGGGCTTGCAGGAGTACGAGGAGTGGAAGTGGTCCAAGAACCCCACGATCGTGGAGGTGCTGGAGGAGTTCCCTTCGGTGCAGATGCCCTCCACGCTGCTGCTCACCCAGCTGCCCCTCCTGCAGCCTCGCTACTACTCCATCAGCTCGTCCCCGGAGATGTACCCGGGAGAGGTCCACCTCACCGTGGCTGTGGTGTCCTACCGCACCCGAGGTACCGCGCCGGGCACGGGGCTCTGGGGAGAAGCAGCAGCACAGGGGCAGCCCCACCAAATCTGGGGCAGGGAGGTGTTCCTTGAAAGCCTTCCTGCCTCCTGCAAGAGTAGATTCCCCCAAACCACGGCACTGCTGTCCCCATGCCATGGAGTGACGCAGAGATGACGCTTCTGGGGCAGCTCCAAGCTCCGTGTAGGATTGTGTGCCCACCCCAAAATCCACGTTCCCAGCAGCCAAACTTCTGCAGCAGAGCCAGCATTGGTGTGTCCCAGCATGGTGGTGGTGCAGATAAACACAGCCCTGGTGCTCTGCAGCACACAGGGAGCACAGTGGAGCTGCCATGGAGGGTTTGTGTCTGGGAGCATCACGGTACTGCTCCTGCCAAAAAGCTCCAAATGAGAACTGGGTGCTCCCTAAGGATTGTGGAGGTGCAGCCATGCCAGGTCTGGGTAGCTCCACAGAGGGATTCCAAACTCTGCCATGTTCATGGAGAATGGGTGCTGAGATATGAAATGTCATATGAAATATGTCATATAAAATATGAAATATGTCATATGAAATATGAAAGGGGGGTGCTCATGCAGGATGTAGCAGGGAGGGTTTTAGGAAAGAAAACAGAGTCGTTGGGTGATGTGTCACATCCAGACCTCCCTCCTTCCCTCCCTCCCCCAATTCCCAGATGGAGAGGGACCGATCCACCACGGAGTCTGCTCCTCGTGGCTCAGTCGGATCCAGACAGACGAGGTGGTGCCGTGCTTTGTGCGAGGGTGAGTGACCCACACAAGGCCAGGGCTGAGGAGGAGGGGTGAGCTCGCAGGCTGAGCTCTCTGCCCTCGAGTGTTGTGAGCAAATGGTTCCCCTCGGAGAGAAATCCCGCACAAAAACCTCACACCCCGGGATTTTACCTCATCTTCTACCCCTCCCTCTCCGGGAGGTGTCTCAGTGGGCAGAGAGGAGGGAGGGAACACCCCCGTGCTTGTTTTGAGCTGGATCTTTGATGTGTGCAGTGCCCCCGGGTTCCACCTGCCCCAGGACCCCCAGGTGCCCTGCATCCTCATCGGGCCCGGCACCGGCATCGCCCCTTTCCGGAGCTTCTGGCAGCAGCGGCTCTTTGACATCCAGCACAAAGGTGGGGCCGTCCTCCTCCTCAGCTCCAGCTTTTGGGAAGCCTGGCTCGGGATGGGGGTCCCACCCTGCCGGGGGTGTCCCTGCTGCTGGTCTGGAGGGAGCTGGCTGGTGGGCAGCGGTGGCTGAGGGCTGTCCCCACGCTGTCCCCAGGGCTGAAGCCGTGCCCCATGGTGCTGGTGTTCGGCTGCCGGCAGTCCAGGATCGACCACATCTACAAGGAGGAGACGCTCTTTGCCAAAACCCAAGGGGTGTTCAGAGAGCTGTACACGGCCTATTCCCGGGAACCGGACAAACCAAAGGTGGGCACGCCCCGGGAACGCGCTGGGTCCTCGGCCAGGGGGCACTCAGGAGAAGGATTGTCCCTTCCCAGTGGCCACCAGCCCCAGGGTGTGTCCCCATGGGGAAGGGGAAGGGAGAGGGGAAGGAGAAGGAGAAGGAGAAGGAGAAGGAGAAGGAGAAGGAGAAGGAGAAGGAGAAGGAGAAGGAGAAGGAGAAGGGGAGAAGGAAAAGGAAAAGGAAAAGGAAAAGTAAAAGATGTCTCCCAGTGGGGTGGCCCAGAGCCAGTGCAAATTCCCCCTGGCACCTGAGCAGGCCTGGCAGTGACAGACGTGGTGCAGGTGTGCCCATGCAAGAGCAGAGCGATGCTCTGCTGCTGTCCCTGTCTCTGTTTTGTGACTGTGGGTGCTGCAAGGCACAGCTGCGTCCCCCAAAGAGGGGGCCCAGGGCAGGCCAGGGCCGAGAACCCGGCGTTAATCCCAGCCCCCTCCTCCTCCTGGTCCCTCAGAAATACGTGCAGGACGTGTTGCAGGAGCAGCTGGCCCAGACCGTGTTCAAAGCACTGAAGGAGCAGGGAGGCCACATCTACGTCTGCGGGGATGTCACCATGGCCGGGGACGTGCTCAAGACGGTGCAGCGCATCGTGAGGCAGCAGGGCCAGCTGTCGGCCGAGGAGGCAGGAGCCTTCCTCAGCAAGCTGCGGGTGAGTGGTGCCACCTCTGTGTGTGTGTGTGTGTGTGTGTGTGTGTGTGTGTGTGTGTGTGTGCCACCACTCCTGCCACGGGCACTGCACCTGCTGCCCGCCCAGGTGACGGCACCGCGGGGGCCGTGCCCTGGGAGGCTCGGGAGGGTGACATTCCAAAGGTTTCTGTGTGTGAGGAGCTCACCTGGCTCCTGTGAGGAGCGTGCCCAGCTCCGGTGCCAGCGCTTTTGGGCACCCCTGGCAGGGCTTGTTCGCCCTGCAAAGTCTCTCCATCAGAAATTGAGATTTTTGGGGCATTTTGTGGGTCCCCGATGCAAATCTCTCTGTCTGCGAGCCCCATGCCAGACACGAGGATGCAGCTGAAGCTTCAGTGAGCTCAGTTTGGGACACAGGCCCACGGATGGATGCTGGAACAGCTCTGCTTCCCCGCAGGAGGATAACTCAGCATGATCCCCATGGGATTTCCCCTTCAGAACCTTGTCCCCAGCTCCATCCAGGCCCCAGGGCAGCCCAGAGCCTCTGGCTGCCCACAGAGGGGGGCTCTAACGCCTGGAGCAGCCCCAGAGTGCCACCTTGGGAAGGTCATTCCAGCCCTCTGTCCCACTCGGGACAGACCCCAAACCCTGCCCTGTGCGTTTGGTGCCTCCCCACCACGCAGGATTTCACCGGGGCTGACACCAAGCTGTTCCAAACCCCACCTTTCCCCTGCCACCCTCTGTGCCAGGATGACAGCCGGTACCACGAGGATATTTTTGGAGTCACCCTGCGCACGTACGAGGTGACAAACCGCCTTAGATCCGAGTCCATCGCCTTCATCGAGGAGAGCAAAAAAGACACGGATGAGTGAGTCCACACGTTTGTTTTAACCCCTGCAGTCACCTCGTGGGCTGGGGGATGGGAAAGGAAGGATGGGAAAGGATGGGAAAGGATGGATGGGAAAGGAAGGGTGGGAAAGGAAGGGAAAGAAAGGGGATGGGAAAGGATGGGAAAGGAAGCTTTTCTTTTGTGCACACCTTAAAGCAAAGGCTGAGGAAGGCACTGGATTTTTGCTCTGGAAGCCTGGCAGTGCCTCTGGAATAGCTGTCACCTCTCTAGGATAAATTCCCCCCAGTTTCCCAATTTGTTGCACTGATGTGCTCAGACCTGACAATCCCATCCAAAGGAAAATGGTCCAGGCTGGAAAAGCCCACAGGAAGGGGTGACTCTCCCCAGCTGCAGGGGAGCCTGGCTGGCTCCAGGTGTTCATCTCTCCGTGCCCCTTCAGGAAAGATCCAGAGATTTTTCTCCCTGCTGTTGCAAAAACAACCAGAAGTTTAAAAAAAAAAAAAAAAAAAAAGTCTTGACATTTTCTGTGTTTGTTTCTGCTCTACCAAGTCCTGCCATTTGCTCAGCTTGGTCATGGTGGGATTTTCCCTGGCTGAGCAGAAGGATTATTTAGGATAAAAGCTGGGCAGCTGCATGGATCTTGCTCCTTGTGCTGGCCCTTGGTAGCTTGGGGTGAAACCCCTTCCCTGTGTAGTGCCTGGTGTGGTTTTTCCCCACATCCCTGAGGACTGGTAGGAATTTTTTCCCCCAAGGAATCACATTCTCTGGGGTCTGGGCTCTATCAGAGTGCCTCAGTTTCCCACCTGTGGATAGGGATAAAGGTCACCTTCCTGCCCACCTGCCCCAGCTCTGAAAACTCCTGCCCAGCACATGGAACATCCAGGTCGGGATGATCCCGGTGCTCCTCACTGCCTTTCTCCCCTTTCCCTTGCAGGGTTTTCTGCTCCTAACCGGACCCTTCGCCCCCAGGGGAGGCCAAACCAGTCCCAGCACCTGCTGCCCCCTCCAGCTGGAGGGCACTGGGTTTTGTATTTCACGGACACGGTGGCTCCTTTTCCACGGGGAACTGCCCATGGAAAGCGCTCTGTCTCTCGTCCTGTTGTTGTGTCCTGATGATGATGATGATAATTACTTTCATTTCCTTTTCTTCCCCCTTCTCTTGATCTTGTCCTGTGGCCATTTCTTTTCACCTCCTTCCCCTTCCCTGGATTTCCCCACTGGAGTTTGATGGCTTTATAACCTGCAGTGGCTCTTTTCAGAATTTCACATTTCCCCTCCTTCCCGTGAGGGCGTTTTGCAGCTGCATGAAATCACCACCTTTGTGATCATTTTTGGGTGTTTCTGGGCCTGAGCAGAGGTGGCAGGGGCTGGGCAGTGGTGAGGTCTTGTTGCTTGTCCAGAGCTGGGGGGTTGTTCCTGCCAGGCTCCCTCTTTCCCCTGATCCTGGCTGAATCCTTGTGTTTTCATGGCTTTGGACAAACCCGGGCACGTGCCCGAGGCTGGGTGCAGGTGATGTGCAATTCCATCCAATTCCCATGAATTTGATTCATCCCCAGGCAGCCTGGGCACAGCTCTGTGATTTCTGATCTGACTTTTGTGTCACGATTTCTCCCAAACGGGCCCTGCGCTTTGTCCCTCTTTTCCTGCTCTCTTCTCCCGCTCCCTGAGCCTCTCCTTTTGCTCCATCCCGACTTTTTCCGGCATGGGAGTTCTCCCACCAGCTCTGAACACACAGGCTGATGAGCAGCCCAAGGAAAAGCTGCAGTGATTTCTCCAGAGGGTTTTACAGGGAATGCTGGACCTGCAGCCGCGGTGCCGGCGGGACACGCGGAGGGTCCGGCTGCACCCAGAGCTCTGCGGGCTCCCACCCTCTCCCAGGTGAGCCTGGAAAGCCTCGAGGACGGGACAGAAGCAGCTCCCAGCTGCCAGAGGCACCCCTTGGGAACAAAGGCAGCACTCGGAGGGGGACGGAGGCTCCGGGTTTTTGGTGAGGATGTGCCAGCAGAGGAATCATGAAATCCCAGAGCCGCCAGCTCTTAGCTCATCTCACGAGCGCTTCTGGGACGGCAGAGCCCAGCTCTTTCCACATTTTGAGGAGCAGAAAGTGCCACGCTGGAGCCACCTGCCTGCCAAGAGAGACACGTGTGGCGTTCTGGGGGTGAGGCAGGCCCCTCTCGTCATCTGAGAAGAGATGTCTCAGCCAGGACATCTCGTGTGAGAAGGGAGGTGAGATCCAAAGGTGCTGGGCTCTGACACGCTCACACCTCGGCCCTGCTGCCAGAACCTGGCCCCAAAAAGCAATTTGTTAACACAGCCACAGAGAGGTTGGAGAAAACAGAAAGCCTCTAACAGAGAAAAGCTGTCTGCAAGGGAAAGCAAGCCTGACCTTGTGCGTCCTTCCTCCTGCTGCACCCTGAAGAGTCACAGCATATTCGGAATTGGAATTGAGTTGGACGAGGGTCGAGCCAGACTCCTCTGGGGTGAACAGCCCTTCCAGGGACTGATCCTCGGCGGTTTTAGCACCAGGCTCTGCCCAGCTGAGCCAAGCCCGGGTTTGTCCTCCCTCACTGCATCACAGGGACAGCAGGACATGGCTGCAGCTCTTGCTGGAGGCAGGGATCCAGGGTTGGCATCTTCAGGTGGCAGCTGCTGATCCTCCCCTCCTGCCCTGCTCGGATCCTGGCTGGAGCCAGCCAGAACTGCTGGCGGCACAGGGATCGTCCTGGAGCTCTCACGGGGCTAAGAACACCTGCCCTGAGCTAAAGGCAGCACAGAAAGAGCTGCAGGAGGTTTGCTGCTCTCCCAGCCCAGGGAACAAGCCCCACTGGCTCCCCTGTCCCAGGCTCTGCTGTTACTCCCACCCTCAGCCAGGATCTCCTGCCCTCTCCTGCCACGTCTCCATGGGCTGTGACACCTTCTGCAGCTTCCCTGCATCCCCGAAGCATCTCCAACCCAAAATCCAGGAGCAAAAGGGCTCCAGGCACCGGGAGAATTCGAGATCCAGGTCTGCTGGTGCCGGCTGAGCATCCAACACGGGATAAAACGAATAAATGCTGCCACAGTGTGGCCAGAGCTGAGCAGGGCTGGGGACACACGGCCAGCTGTGTGCCACTGCCCGGGGCCACGGAGAGCACGCAGGGAAGGGCAGCCCAGCCCTGCGGGTTGTGCCCCAGCAAACCCACAACCCCAGTGGGATGGGGGAGCCGGGTCCCTTGGCTTGGGATGTGGGAATTTGGGAGAGGCCCTGGCTGGGAGAAAACTCCCTGCCTCCAGAGCTGGGAACACGCAGCGAGCCTGGCCTGGACCCCCATCCTGTGGCTGCAGGGACAAAGCTAAAATCAGAAAGAAAATCAGACTCATCCTCTTCTTCTGGGAAATTCTGGCTCCAGCTTTGCGCTCTGGTCCTCCTTTAGATGAAGGGGCGATGCAACCTGACGGGAGAAGGAGGAGGAAGAGGAGGTAATGCCCAAAGAAACATCTCTTTGTCCTCTTCCCCGCTCACAGCGTGGTGCTGCCAGGTTCTCCCCTCCTGTCCTGCCTGCTCTGCTGTTCCACCTCCCACCTGGAGCCCTGGTTGGGTTATCTCGCTTGTTGTGTACCCCAAAGCTCGCCACCTCCGTGTCCCCTGAGTCACCTCTGTGTCCCCTGAGCCCCCTCCATGTCCCCTGAGCCCCCTCTGTGTCCCCTGAGCCACCTCTGTGTCCCCTGAGCCCCCTCTGTGTCCCCTGAGCCACCTCTGTGTCCCCTGAGCCACCTCTGTGTCCCCTGAGCCCCCTCTGTGTCCCCTGAGCCACCTCTGTGTCCCCTGAGCCCCCTCTGTGTCCCCTGAGCCCGCTCCGTGTCCCCTGAGCCCCCCGAGCCCCCAGGGGAAGCAGCAGGGAAGCCCAGCCCTCCCTCCCGTGGGTCTGCAGAGGCTCTGGGCCAGGCAAACACTTCCCTGCCGACCCCTTGGCAAGGGAAATGCTGCTTTAAGGCTCTTGCCTGGACCTGGAGCAGAAATCCCCTCGCTGCCGTGAAGGTCCATGAAGTGAAGGATCCCCAGGGCTCGGAGCTGCCGCAGCCTGAGCAGGACCGCTGGCTCCTCACAAGCTGCACCGCTGGGAATTCTGATTCACTCTGCTGTTGAGTCAGCCTCAGACGTCTGAACTGCTCCCCTTCATCCCCTCCACCTGCAGGGGCTTCGCACTCCCCTCCAGCTTCATTTTCTCCCGTAGCAAATGGGGAAGGAAACTTGTGGATGTGTTTTCTTATTCCCGAAATGCGGCCTCTGCTCGTCTCGCTGCGGCACTGCTGAGTGCAGCCACAAAATCCGTGCCACAAGCACAGAGCGAGGTGGGCTCAGTGCCCTGGGCTGCTGTGGGGTCACACACAGAGGGGTTTGGGCCTTTGGGTCATAAATCTGTCCCCTCTGTCGCAGCCCTCCTGCGCTGACCCAGCCTGGCCAGCGTCCCAGCCGCTCTCCTGAGGATCTCCACCACCCCAGCTTTCAGCAGCTCTGCTCCTTCTCACCCTCCAGCTGTTAAAGAGACTCTTCTCTGAGCAGCTTTGATTTTCAAGGCACTACAAAGAGGGTTTTTTTGGCAAAGATTTCACTTCCTAGGCCTTTCGAGCGTCTGCAGAGAGTCATTAGATGGATTTGAAAAGCCAGGGGGAAAGGTTCCGTGTTTTCCCAACCTGCTGTGACCACCAGAAGGGAAAAACCATTCAGTGCACGGGCACCCAGCGCTGTGCTGTTGGTGATTTCTGAGGTTTGGACTGCCTGGGAGTTTGTTGTTCTTCTGTTTATGAGAGACAGCAGCAGAACAATGAGACATCTGCCACCAGGAGTGGCCTCACAGAGCTGTCACCTCCTCACCGTGGCCTGAGCTGCTGCTTGGGAAGAGCTGAGCCAGTCCCACCCAGAGTGGCCAGAGGATGGGACGCGGCTCCCTCAGTGCCTGTGTGTCCCCAGGGGGAGCAGGGACTGTGTCCCCTCTCTGAGCACGGGGATCTGCTGTGCGTGTGCCAGGAGTGTCCTGGGCCGGGATCCCCGGCCCTGCAGGAGAGGATTGGGAACAGACGGGACAAAGCCCCGTGTCCTGCCTGTGGCTGCTCCCGTTCCTCTCGCCCCATCCCAGCTGCTTCCCAGGCTCCCTCTGCCTCTTCCCTCTGGAGATGCCTCCCTCCCGAGCCCTGCCTGCCCAGCCGGGAGCGCAGGAGCTGGGCTGGGCACGGACTCACAGTGCCTTGTGCTGGCAACGGAGCACGGCACCGCTCCTGAGGAAATTCCCTCTGGGATAACCGGGAGCACACTCAGCAACATCTCCCCGAGGTGGAGCTTCCATAGGGGGATGGAGGTGGGGAGAGGTCACAGTGTGGCTGCAAACTGGGGCTGTGAGCTCCCCCCCGTCCCAGAGACCCCCTTCTGATTAAACCGTGCTGGGAGAGCTCGTGTTTGTGACTCTCACCAAGCCCAAAGCTGCTGCCTCCTGACTTCTGACCACTGAAGCCATTCCTTTGCCCTCTGGGGGCTCCCACCAATTTTTTGGAAGGATAATTTTATGCTCAGAACTAAATTCTGTCCCTGCTTTCACCAGGGACTAGTTCTGGGCTTCAGAATTGCTCTGATAACTCTGCAATTGCGTTGATAGCTCCAGAGGGGAGCACAGTCCCTCCACAGAACAGATGGAGACGCATTTTCAGGACCGTTCAACTTTGCTGTAACTCCGTCTTTGTTACAGCAATTCCTTCCGCTGTAATAGAGAGAGCAAAATTCCGCCTTGAAAACCTGTAATCCTGAACTCGGATAAATTTAACCCAGAATCCAAATCCTCCCAGATCCAAAATGCCTTCCACACCTGCTGGCTTCAGCGGCACTGGGGATTTTGGCGGCTTGCACAGCAGCAGCAGCAGCAAATTCCGAATATTTTTGCGTGTGCCAATCCGCGCTTGCACGTGCCTGCGATGCATGGCTCCGGCAATCCCTGGGAAATCTCCCCTTTCCCAGGAAAATCCCAGCTCCAGCTTCCTCCACGTGGCCATGTGTGTTCAGCAGGGACTCAGGGCAGAGGGAGAAAGTTGCTGCTTTAAAGCACTCGGTTCCAGAGGTGAAGCAGGATTTAGGAGAGGTCAAAAGCAGCTTGGTTTAGCAGAGGGAAACTCGTGGGATATCCAAGCATTGCCACGCAGAGCCACCTTTATTTTTGTTTGTTTTTCCTGCTGGGAAAAGGAAGGAGGCTGGCAATTCCTGGCCTCCACCCCTGCAGATGTTTGGCTGTGATGGAAATCTGAGCCCTGGAATCACAGGGAGGTTGTGAGCTCAGAGCTCACTGCCAGGGCTGCTGCTCTCCTGGACTCATCCACGTCCTACCCAGCCAGATTTTGGGGAGGGAAGGAGGGAGGAAGCGCCTCAAAGTGAGCAAATCAAACCTTTGGAGCCTGGCCCTGAGAATTCCTGGTTTATCAGGAGCCTACAGGCTAAAGTTTATTCCTCATTCCCGTGGTGAGGAATTGGGAAAGACTCTTGTATCCCGAGCTTTCAGAGCTGTTCTGGAGCTGTGGAAAAGCAGGAACGCAGCACTGGGATGCAGGGCAGCTCCTGCCCAGCTCTCTGCAGGGCTGGTGCAGAAATCTGTGAGGGAAGAGCACCAGGAAAAGTATTTTCCATCCAGGGGCATCCTTAATACCTGGAAAATTAAAAGGTTAAATACTGGAAAAGTTGATCTAAGAGAGGAACTAATTCAGGGCTTCTTTTTGTTGCTTTGTTCTCGTGTGTTGGTTTTGGGGTGGGGAAAGCAAACAGAGAGCAAACAGCCAGTGTATCCAATCTGGATTAAATCAAGCTTTTTGTTCCTACAATAACTGCCAGCAGAGATTTCAAAAATTTATCAAGGGCAACAAAACAGCCTTAATTAACTGAGACATTAATGCTCCTTGCTTCTGAGCCTGCTTTTCTGCTCTCCTCTCTGTGTGATCGTGGCATGGAATCCTGTCTTAACAAAAGCCACTTCCCAGTAGCCCACAGGATGTCCAGGAACAGGAGATGGGGTTGGAGAATCTCCCTGCCAGTGCAAAAATCCCTGCTTTGCTAAAATCCTCACAATTCCCAAGGTTGAATTCCCATGCTCTGCTGCCTCGAAATGCCTTTAAAAACCCCGGGCTGTGTGTGCTTTGTGAGCAGTCTGCAGCTTTTCCAGAGTGCA